CGGATATCTGCTACTACATATTCTGACCTCTTAGTGGCAGTTGCTGCTAGTCAAGCGAGCGATCCCTGAACCCTCAAATGGAATGATATAGGGGCCGAACAATTCGAAAGGCCTTGTAGTATTGGCCACAGTTTAGGATTGTTAAAATTGTAGGGATTTACCCTTCATGAAGTTTTGGGGGTTGAAAGAGCTTTTAGTTTCTTGTTGTTGGTTCAGTTCTTCGTTGGTGTGTGGCAAGATATCTGGCCACTGGGTTGCAGATCACAGGCTGTTCAGTACACTTCCGAAACATGTCGGCGGAATATGATGAAAGATGGACAGATGCTCGGGGATGAAGTTTGTGCACCTGGAAATTCGCAGGAGTGTGTGTCTCGGGGGCGGCTGCATTTCCCGTCTACGTAAATAGAAGAAACGGACCAGCGAAAATGCCGACAACCAATCGTTCATGGCTGCCTCTACACTCTTATTTGGGCCACTTTATCTTGTGAACGCCCAGTGGCACGCCAGTGGGCAGCCAGGTCCGCCAACATCACCTCCTGACGGTTTCTGGAGCATACATGGCTTAGAGGAATTTCAACGGCACCTCATTAAAATCATTAAAACGAAGACTAACGCATGCACACGCGTGAGATAGCATATCTTGGGGACAAGCAGACGGGCTTCGATGGGGACTGTGTGCACGGCTGCTGTCACATCGGCAGACCATTCCAATCGAATTGTTCACGAACAGCCTCTATACCATGCAATGATTGCTCCCCACAGCATCACACACCCGTCAGGTTCAAGCTTCAATTCCAACTCAGGCATACTTTCAATGGAAGTGTTCGAACACAGAAGGTGACAATGATATGGCTTGCATAAGCACCAAGTCCAACAGCCTCCTCCTCGGTATTCTGGACATGTGAAAGCATGATCACGAAGACCATATGAGGTTGGTGACTGCAGACTGTAGCTCAAACCCCAGTGCGTATCCAGGGACTGACGTGAACCGGACGTTCTCACAGCACGATCAAATCCGTCTATCCTGAACCCTGAAAATAAAAAAAGCAAACTCAACAAATGTGCCGAATGGGGGTTTCCGAAAATAGGTACCCTAATATATACTCTCAATACTAGGGTCCGTAGTTTAAGGAACCGCCAAATAAGGTTTACCCCCCCCCCCCCCCCGCTATTTTCGGAAACTCAGAAAGCAGTACCTCCTGTGGAGTCGGTCCTCGTTGTTGTTGATGTCCAGGCTGCTGAAGATCTGCTCGATCTCCTTACAGCGTTGACATACATAGTAGTGTAAGTATGTGTGTATATATATATATAGATAGATAGATGTGTGTACGTTATTGCTGTTGAAATGTGATCTATAGTAATCCATATGTGTATGTATACGGTGTAAGATAACCTTAAAAATAATCTGGAATAAATCCTCTAGCCCGGCAGTTTACTGCTTTGCGCGACACAGTCGACATCACAGTTGGCTTGCAAGCGCACAAAACTATTCTACATTCAGACATATCATGGTTGAAGACTTACGATTCACTTCTGAAGGCGGGGGGTCGCGAGAAGACGGCCGTGAGCCCTGAACCCTCTTCTTACCGGGTGTATGGTGTTTTAGGGTATTAGGGTTTAGGTTTTGGGTTTAGGGTACTGATGCGGTTTAGGGTTTAGGGTGTTGATGTGGACTGTTCGCCTGGTCCAAGACTTCCACCCCGAAGACTCCAGCACACATTGGAACCCCGTAACCTGAAAAATGTAAACCCCTGATTGACAACCCATTCTCGATTAATATATAGGGGCCTAAATAAATACCAGTACAATGTTGGCGGATTTTCCAATCTGCTACAGTATACCCCCAAGCCCGATTTTCATCAAGGCCCCCGCATTATATGTTTTTTTGGATGGTTCCTGATGCTGGGGGAGCTCAATGATCCTATGGACATGGACTACAAGCCTTTTGAAACCATAGCGCATCGCTAAAAAACGGGATACACAGGTAAACCTGCAGACCCTGAAAGAACATCGTACTGTGCGATGCGTAAGGACGCGTGAGTTTTTGAAGCTCGTGGTATCACTTGCCAGCTATTTTTGACTCGGATTACTGGTCTTATGGCAAACCCTAAACCCTAAACCCTGGTTTGTGTCACAGAGACAATCCTGAGAGCAGAGGCCTGACCCGCAGTCTCCTTTTCCCGCAAAACCTTCTGACCCCAAACCTTACCTTTGGTTAGTAGGGAATGGAAGAATGGTAATAATAGTAGTTATAATTGTACCCCATTCCTCGATTCCCTACTAGCCAAAGGTAAGAACCCTACACTCTGCACCCAACAGCCGCATGTTTGGCAGTTGGGCTTGGGGGAGCTGGGGGCTGCGATGAAGCTTTCCTAGACCCAAGAGTAAGCCAGGCATAAAAAGGATGCCCTTTTTGGTCTAAAGGGGCTTATAAGGGAACCTGAACCCTAAAAAAGGGAATAAGGGCCTACTCTAGGTCCTAGTTTCAGTCGGCTTAGTTGAAGACCGATAGACCTTCAGCTCAAGTGCCCAGGATGTTTAGGAGCTTCAGAGTTTAGGGTTTAGGGTTTAGGGAGTTTCCGAAAATTAGGGGTCCTTATTTTGGGGTCCTTATAATAAGGATCCTACTATATGTGGGGTTTAGCTGCACGTGGTGCTTTGTTTGCCGATCTTAGATCGTTAAGGGGGCTTTTGTTGAAGGATAAACAACTCCAAGCTGCCCAACATCCGAGAGAGGCCCCCAAACCCTAAACATCCCTAAACCCTGAACACCACCAAAATCACTAAAGCCCCCAAACCCTGAACATCCCTAAAATCCCAGTTCTCAAAGCCCTAAACACCCAAACCCTAATCCCAAAAAGTGAAACCCCCAATCTTTAAACCAATGCCATACCAGGGGCATGTTGCTCGCCGAAAGGCAAGGCTCGGAAAAGTCTGAGACCTGGCTTCTTGTAGGGGCTTAAAGGTTTTGGTTTTAGGGGATGAGGGTTTAGGGATTAGGGGTTTGGGGGTTTTGAGTTTCAGGGTTCGGGGGTTAAGGGATTAGGGTTTAGGGGTGGGGCTCTCCCGCGAGGGTCCCAGGTTTAAGACATGATGTAGCGGCCTGAGCGACTAGAAACGGGTTCTTTTGTTCAGATAGGACCGTAACAATTAGAACTGGATTTCTGGGTATACTACAGTCCTAGAGTATAGGAGGGAACCCCGGGGAAACGTCTTGGCAATTATTCAGGCTTCTGTACTACGCTTACAAGGCTTAGGGTCCTGGGTTTCGGGTTCGGGGGGTAAGGGCTCACGGCCTGAAACCGAGGTTAACCCTGAAACCAGTCCACAAAGTCGACTAATATGGGAACCTGTTAAACAAAAAACTGGGCCTTGATTAGGGCTCCTTATATGAATCCTTCTGTTTTGGGGTTATAGGCCCAGGGCCCAGGGTTTCTTAATCAGCCTCCTACATTGCTTCACATGGACCCAGCAAAGTCAACGAGGCTTCAGTATGCCGGGATCAAAGGATCTGCGGTGTGGCCGCTCGTACACAAAAACACGGTGAGCTTCAGCTGAAAGGCCGAAGGAGTATCTGTCGAAAGTGGCTTGCAAGATTCAGGCACATTGGGCGACTGACGTGGCCACAAACTCTGAAACTAAGCATCTCCGATGCACCTGCTACTGGTGGAAAGGAGGCCAATCGAAAACACCACAGGCCATCACTGCTTTTGCCATTCAGCCAACCAATGAATCTGCACCACTGCACGCCCAACAGGCCAACTAGAACCCTGACTTCCAAGTTGCAAAGCTTCAAACCCACAGCCCCGTAAAGGTTGCTTTTGTTTCCCATTCGGGTTCTGTGTGCTCGCTCGATCGCAAAGCGTATACACCCCAAGCCCAAGCCCGGCATAGAACACCCAACAGAATCGATAGAACCCTACAGGACCCATCGTACCCAAAACTCCGGTGCCTTTTTGCCAGTTTTCTCGGATCTTCGTCTTCGAGTTCCAGCCTCGTGAACAGGGCTTTGGTGGTGAGGGGGGGGCTCAACTTAGGGGGTTAGGTTAGGTTGTTGGGGTTTTTGGGCGGGTTTGGGGTTGTGGGACTTGGGTTCAGAGTTGAAGCACCTGCGCTCGGACTGTCCAGGCGAGGTTTGGTGTTTAGTAGTCTGGCTTTGGGGCTTGGGGGCTTTAAGATTTACGGGTTTACTTATGGTTTAAGGGAGAGGGTCCTAGGTATGGTTTAGTTTAAGGGAGTCTGGGCCCTAGGCTGTGTAATGCAATGGAGGGTCGTGCAGGTGCTCGTCTAGAGGTGCGAGCTTTTGAGCGACATGTAGTAGGTACTGCCTGCTCTCCCCGCCACTCTCCAAGCAAGTCTGGCTTGAAAACCTGAAACCCTAAGTATGACCCTAAGCCGGAGGCGCAAAGCCTGCACCCTGAAGCCCTGGACCACAGACCACAAGCGCATGAACCCTCATAGTACACCCAACCCCAAGACATGCCAAAATCCATAAGCCCCTAAACTCCTCAGTATCGAATCAAACATAAAGCCTCGGTTCCGAAAGAAACAGAGCGTGGAAAGCTTCGGAGACCGGGCAGGGTCGTGATGGTTGCCGAAAGCATTCCCTCGCAGTCCCTGTACATGGATGGATATACCAATACGCTCCAAAATCCCGTTCATCTATAACTGCCTCTTATTAAGCTGAAGACAGCGCAACTTGAAACCTAAAATTATTACACCCGAAGCCCCAGAATGCAAAGCCGAACACAGAGCTCTAAACCGCACGGCCTGAAGCCTTAAACACTGAATACCAAAGCTGTCCGCTGGAGCCTTAAACTGCTCGAAACCCAACAGCCTTGATGGTGTTAGTGTGTGTTAGGGTTTAGGGTTTAGGGTGCCCGTACTCCAGACCCTGCTCTAGGGCTCTCAATACTCTGCATCTGGTTTTGGGGTCTGGTATGACTAAATTCGGAGCCCAAATTGGAGGGACAATATTGGTAAGTACTCTGGCTGTTGTTCTACACCCACGACGCGTCCCAGCGGCGTGTGATCATGTTCACCTTGCGAACAGCGCGGTGCATGGCACCACCTGCCATCATCGCTTGCTTCGCAGTGAAAGGGTGCGGATATGGAACACTTCATCTCGCATGCATCTGATAGAGCAACCCTGAACCCCAAGTCCACATGGGTAGTATGGGAAGGATTCTCGGTTTGCACGGCTCATGCCAAATCTCGGATTCAGCATATACACACCTCCAGCATACGAACCGCCACATGCGCAGGTTTAGGGTCCCGGAACGTCTCCATCTTTTTTCTGATGTCCAGTCCCAAAAACCTTCCAGCAGCAGAAAGGGCTATATGCAGTCCAAATCTAACCTTCCAGCAGCACACCAGTGCAGCACGCCTTATTGAATCCCGGGTCCCAAGCCTTACCGCTCCACCGCATGGGAAACCACCAGAAAACGTCGTTTTCCATGGTGCGAAGTTTCTGGCCGAAGCTTCTGGCGGCCCTTCTTAGGCCCACCAACCTCGCACAAACAACAAAACGAGCCTCAGCGCTAAACCCAAAAATCCTTGCAGAACCCACCGTAAAGCCGCTCTGGAGCCCGAAACCGCCAACCCCAAAAACTCAGAACCCTAAAGAACCCTTTTGCAACTGGCTAACCATAAACCCTAGAAAAACCTCAACCCTCGGAGTGGCCTGGTCTTGGGGAGGAGTCACCCGGCCTGGGGAAAATGTGCCGTTGCGATCTCGCGCGGGTAACTTGTAATCCAATTTTACAGGTCCTATAAAGGGGGTTTCCGAAATCAGGGGGCCCTAATATAGTACCCTAAATAGGAGGATCCTTATTGACATATACCTAATAACGGGGCTCTCGATACTTTACCGGAAGGGTACATGAGTCGAAGGATCATCGACCTGTCCTGCTTGTAGCAAAGTTTCTATACAAGACCGCGGTTGCTTAACAGCTGCTGTTTATAACAACTTTGCAGCGTTTATGACTTCGGACTAAATCCTTAGGGTTAACGTACACAGGAACCTGATTAAGAAACCTGGGCACATAACCCCGAAATACTTGGGTTCATATAAGCAACCCTAATACAGGCCCAAGGTTTGTTGATCAGGTCCCTACATTAATGGCTTCAAACGGGCCTCGCGAGTCCCGGGTGCTGCAAACTCTTGGCAACGGAATGGATCGCGCCTAAACAGCCATGATTAGGGTCTGAAGGGAATCCGACAGTGTAGACTGTGCAGCGCTCTAGAGCAACTCATCCCTACAGACTAGATCCATACCGTAAAGAGTTTAAGACCGTAGTTAAGGCAAGTAAGCCATAAACCCAAAGCCGGCCCCAAATCCATCCTAGACGGTATCATGGAGTTTGGGACTTTAGGAGCACAAGCTATGAAACCAAAACTTGGCCGACTTCTGGACCCCGCCTAAAAGTCTAACTTTTAGTCTTATTATACTTCATATAAAAATGTCAGAAAAGTTAAAGTCCTAAGAGCCAACCAGAAGAACGCCCAGTAAATCCGGAACCTGGAGCCTCTACAACCATGAACCGTAGACCCCCTGCCGCGCCTTGGGGATGGTGGCTGCATGTCCATCGCCGAAATGCCGTGGGGCATCAGGTGCATCGCCGGCGCTGATGCACCGTGGGGCATCAACCAGTTCTCGTCAGATTGGTGTGTAGAGGGTTTTAGGGTTTTCCGCTTTGGGCTCAGGGTCTGCAAAGGCTTAGGGTGGAGAGCTCAGGTTTGGGGTTACCACAGCTTGGAAAGATCCGGGCGAGGCGTCTGATGAGTACGATTGGTGGTCGTGCCCTGAGGGTCCCAGAAGACCACTAGGCAACTGGGTTCAGGTTACATACTCTCCGAATGCTACAGTGGCCCACCTTCCTGCTAGCCTTAACGGTATGGGAAAGCAGGAAAGGAGGTTGGTATTTGGGAAAGATCTTCGTTTGGGGCTTGAAGGTTGAAAAATTGGGGGTTGAATTGTGGTTAGGTTTGTATTGTAGGGCTCTAGGCTCCCTAAACCCTAATCGTCTTTGGTCATCTTCTTGGTTCAGGGTTGTTGCGGGCTTCAGGAAACCAAGTGTCAATGAGATAAGGCCGAGAGTTGAGGGTCTCGTTGGGTGTAGGGTTAGGGGGTGGTCTAGGGTTTAGGGTCAGAGTTGGGCGTACAGGGTACACATCTTTTCTTTCCTGCAGCACCCTCCATTTGCGGGTCGAAGGGAACCCCCCCCACACACACATGCACTCAGGGCAGGTTTTTCAAGTCAAGGGCCTGCAGTAAGGCTATCTTGAACCGCCCCAAGAAAATCTCCAACAATGAACCGCGGCAAATCGCTACATGCTGAGTAATTGCACTTGTTAAGCGGATCTTGTCAGTAACCCCTCACAGTTGCAGCACGACAGTACGGTGCAGGGTTTCGGGTTTAGGTTTGGAAGTGAAGGCTTGGGGCTCAAGGTATCGGGTACTACCCTGTCGAATTTTAGCTCGTGGTGTGTAGGTTTAAACAGAAGTTGAAGTGCGGCTTAGACTTGGAGTAGTCTCGAAAAGTTTTATAAAGTCAGTCTACAAGCAGATTCTTAATCGCGTGGAGCCCTGTCACTGCGTAATCTTTCTCGTCAGCTTTCACCCACAACTTCCTGCCCCTAAACCGGGACCCCAAACCCTCTACGATACGTGACGAAGGAACCCTGAACGGCGCCAAACCCTAAATCCTTGCGCTGGCATCCTGGAAGAAGAGGGCCTGGTTTTGAGCTTCATCTTCATCGGTAAGCGACTCGGTGGCCTCGATAACTCTCGGGAGCCCTCATGCCGATCTATCGGGTTCAATTGGCTAACATATGTCTAAACAGTTCGATTAAGTTTTGTGCGGTAGATATATATCTCTCAGTACGAAATACGCGCAAAACACGGAACGCTAAAGAATGTTGTCGCGATAAATGCATGCCCCCGTATAAATCCTTTCGGGCACCAGAGGGTGTTCTTGGGCTCCAGGGCTTGGGAGTTGAGAGGTTTAGGAGGTGGTCTTGGTATATGTCGGGGCCCAGTATTTCGAATCGTTAACCTTATAGGTGCCGAGAGTCAATTGGAGGTACTACCTGGCGCACTCCCGGAGATCTGTAGGCAGAATGAATCAAGAAATTTGTCACGGAACCTTCTCCAACGGTTTAGGCTTAGGGGGTACATGATAAACATGGTTCCGGAAGTCATCGACTGAAATGTGCGACTCACTGGACAAAATCTGCCAAGTCGCTGCACGGATGAGGCGAGTTGCATTGTGCACCTGCTTCCTTGAGAGCTATGCCACATGGTGGGTCTAAGAGGCACGAGTTCGGTTATCCAAATTATAACTCCATAACTCCCTCATAACTTATGACCGACCTACCTCTACTCGAGGCACCGAAAACATCTCTTAACATCTCAAGCGTTATTGCGCTAATCATGCCTGATCATCGCAACCTGCTGGATGGGGCACGATAACTACTGAAGTATCCCAAATCCTGGACCCCAATGAAGCATCCTAAACCCTGATCTGCAGCTAGCCTGTGCGAAACACAGGATAAGCACGGATAAGCCAAGGACACACTGCGAGAGGGGTCTATCTGAGCCGTCCATAGCGTTCAGGATATGGTGGTTTCTGGGTTTATATTTTTCTAAGAGTGTAAGTAATTAAGGTTTAGTTGCAGTCGGCCAAGTCCCAGGATCCCACGGTGTCTACTGCAATCATGACTTTTTGAATGTTCCTGTATAGATGGTTATATATATAAAAAATATATATATATATATATATATATATATATATATATACACACATATATATATATACATATATATATATATATATATGCATATATATATATATGTATATATATATATATATACATGAGTCTCCACCCGACACCTTAATCCGCAAACCCTGCACCCAAATCCATTAACTTCACACTGCATCTTTTGTGAATCCGTGAAGCCGAATCATTCCGAGGAACGGGGGGACACGATGCCGCTCAACTAGCTGCTGCCTCAGACAGCTGGGGTGTCCAGAATCTGTCGGATGGACCACAGGGTTGGATTTAGGGGCCAGCAAATGGTGATCAGCTGAGTTCTGCACTTCTTGAGACGTTTCTCATAGCCCATGAGCTGCGCCAGCCGGATATGGTACCTGACACACGCCTAAACTTCGAAACCCAAACCCTTGTCGGTTCATGCTTGTGGGGGGTACCTGGTCAGGCTACATATGCATGATCCCGGTTGTCGGATCGCCCCCCCCCCCCCCTCCCCTTTGAATGGTATCCCACCCCCCCCCCCCACTCCCCAAGCCGAATCTGTGTGAGCACACTTTTGCACATGAGGGCCCCAAAACCGTCATCTGTCACGAGGATCGCGTCCCAAAGGCGCCCGATCCGTGTGACAGAAGAAGAAGCCAGCGACGGATGTAGCCTCTCCGCCCTGACCAACTTTCATCCCAACCTGCATAAACAGGGCACGTCGGTTCGAGACGGGGGTGGCAGCAGGAAAAACCTAACCCTAAAGACCCTGCCTAAATCCTTAAGCCCCTAAACCCCTGAAAACCTGAACCCTTAACGCCCCCAAACCCCATCAGTCGACATTCTGAAACTAGGACGCCAAGGACTCTGCTGAGAAAGTAGCGGGGTGGGGGTGGCGATTGCAAGAAACAGAGGTTAAATGGTCCAAGCTCCTGGCAACTACCCTCCAAAAGTAGGTAAAACACTGGCCCAATACCAATACAAGTTTACCATCCCACATACTTTTGGGGTCCAGGTAGCAACGACGGAGTCAACATGGGGCTTCTTCTTGCTGGAACCGTAGAAAACGAATACAGAGTCTGAACTATCATAGACTCTAGGAGCTAGACGGGTCTAGGCCGTAAATGCCAAAACCTGAAAATGCATACCTTATCCTACCCCGACCATGACCTACTTTTTGCAGAGCCCCTAATGCCCTGAATTTTAACCTAAACCCTTCTAAATTCTAACCCTATAACCCTTACAACCCTAAACCTTAAACCTAAACAGCACCTTAGGAGCATCGATTTCGTCTCGAGCGAGACCTGGCGAACCTGCGGCGAAGACCCAGGTGTCCGGGGCTCACTGTCTTTAGAGAGCTGACTGCCCTGGGGCCTGTGTTTTACAGGAGTTTTTGTGTTTTACGTTGTTCTTGCGCTGTTGTACATATAAACAGTCCCCTCCGTTACCCAAAGGGCCTGGGGAACTATACCTATGCTACTCTGGGTGTTCCTTATTGTATAAGTATAGTATAATGGGCCCCAAAACACAAGTCTAATCATACAGGCCCCTGTATTATGGGGTTTCAGTAAGCAAGGTTCAGGAGCCACCTTAAGCCCCCAAAACACCCTCCGTTCTAAGCACTCAGACTTACGACCCCAATAAGCCACAGAAACAAAAGGTTAAACTTTCCGATTCCTACTAAACTACAACAACCCAACAAGTTTAAAGATTGGATATGGGAGATCTAAGAATAGAAGGATACCACAACAAGGAGCCCCAAGAAGGTACTTGGAGGATCATGGGACTTAGGGTTACTATTACGGTATTGCGCAGATTCAGCGAAGCCCGATGCGAGCATCATCAGCATCAGCTCGAAATCCTTTCAAACTCAATCTCCTATCCCCCAGCCTCTGAACCCACAGCAGCGTAGCAGTTCCACCCAACTATTGGGCAGATTCAGCGAAGCATCAGCTCGAAATCCTTTCAAACTCAATCTCCCATCCCCGAGCCTCTGAACCCACAGCAGCGTAGCAGCTCCACCCAACTATTGGGCAGATTCAGCGAAGCCCGACGCGAGCATCATCAGCATCAGCTCGAAATCCTTTCAAACTCAATCTCCTATCCCCGAGCCTCTGAACCCACAGCAGCGTAGCAGCTCCACCCAACTATTGGGCAGATTCAGCGAAGCCCGACGCGAGCATCATCAGCATCAGCTCGAAATCCTTTCAAACTCAATCTCCTATCCCCGAGCCTCTGAACCCACAGCAGCGTCGCAGTTCCACCCAACTATTGGGCAGATTCAGCGAAGCCCGACGCGAGCATCATCAGCATCAGCTCGAAATCCTTTCAAACTCAATCTCCTATCCCCGAGCCTCTGAACCCACAGCAGCGTAGCAGTTCCACCCAACTATTGGGCAGATTCAGCGAAGCCCGACGCGAGCATCATCAGCATCAGCTCGAAATCCTTTCAAGCTCAATCTCCTATCCCCGAGCCTCTGAACCCACAGCGGCGTAGCAGTTCCACCCAACTATTGGGCAGATTCAGCGAAGCACGATGCGAGCATCATCAGCATCAGCTCGAAACCTTTCAAACTCAATCTCCTAGCCCCGAGCCTCTGAACTAACAGCAGGGTAGCAGTTCCACCCAACTATTGGGCAGATTCAGCGAAGCCCGACGCGAGCATCATCAGCATCAGCTCGAAATCCTTTCAAACTCAATCTCCTGTCCCCGAGCCTCTGAACCCACAGCAGCGTAGCAGTTCCACCCAACTATTGGGCAGATTCAGCGAAGCCCGACGCGAGCATCATCAGCATCAGCTCGAAATCCTTTCAAACTCCATCTCCTGTCCCCGAGCCTCTGAACCCACAGCAGCGTAGCAGTTCCACCCAACTATTGGGCAGATTCAGCGAAGCCCGACGCGAGCATCATCAGCGTCAGCTCGACATCCTTTCAAACTCAATCTCCTATCCTCGTGAACTAACAGCAGGGTAGCAGTTCCACCCACAATACTTGGGCAGATTCAGCGAAGCCCGACGCGAGCATCATCAGCATCAGCTCGAAATCCTTTCAAACTCAATCTCCTATCCCCGAGCCTCTGAACCCACAGCAGCGTAGCAGTTCCACCCAACATTGGGCAGATTCAGCGAAGCCCGACGCGAGCATCATCAGCATCAGCTCGAAATCCTTTCAAACTCCATCTCCTGTCCCCGAGCCTCTGAACCCACAGCAGCGTAGCAGTTCCACCCAACTATTGGGCAGATTCAGCGAAGCCCGACGCGAGCATCATCAGCGTCAGCTCGACATCCTTTCAAACTCAATCTCCTATCCTCGTGAACTAACAGCAGGGTAGCAGTTCCACCCACAATAGTTGGGCAGATTCAGCGAAGCCCGACGCGAGCATCATCAGCATCAGCTCGAAATCCTTTCAAACTCAATCTCCTATCCCCGAGCCTCTGAACCCACAGCAGCGTAGCAGTTCCACCCAACTGTTGGGCAGATTCAGCGAAGCCCGACGCGAGCATCATCAGCATCAGCTCGAAATCCTTTCAAACTCAATCTCCCATCCCCGAGCCTCTGAACCCACAGCAGCGTAGCAGTTCCACCCAACTATTGGGCAGATTCAGCGAAGCCCGACGCGAGCATCATCAGCATCAGCTCGAAATCCTTTCAAACTCAATCTCCTATCCCCGAGCCTCTGAACCCACAGCAGCGTAGCAGTTCCACCCAACTATTGGGCAGATTCAGCGAAGCCCTACGCGAGCATCATCAGCATCAGCTCGAAATCCTTTCAAACTCAATCTCCTATCCCCCAGCCTCTGAACCCACAGCAGCGTGGCAGTTCCACCCAACCATTGGGCAGATTCAGCGAAGCCCGACACGAGCATCATCAGCATCAGCTCGAAATCCTTTCAAACTCAATCTCCTGTCCCCGAGCCTCTGAACCCACAGCAGCGTAGCAGTTCCACCCAACTATTGGGCAGATTCAGCGAAGCCCGACGCGAGCATCATCATCAGCTCGTCAGAACTAACAGCAGGGTAGCAGTTCCTTTCAAGCACTCAATCTCCTATCCTCGAGCCTCTGAACTAACAGCAGGGTAGCAGTTCCACCCAACTATTGGGCAGATTCAGCGAAGCCCGACGCGAGCATCATCAGCATCAGCTCGAAATCCTTTCAAACTCCATCTCCTGTCCCCGAGCCTCTGAACCCACAGCAGCGTAGCAGTTCCACCCAACTATTGGGCAGATTCAGCGAAGCCCGACGCGAGCATCATCAGCGTCAGCTCGAACTCCACAGAACTAACAGCAGGGTAGCAGTTCCACCCACAATAGTTGGGCAGATTCAGCGAAGCCCGACGCGAGCATCATCAGCATCAGCTCGAAATCCTTTCAAACTCAATCTCCTATCCCCGAGCCTCTGAACCCACAGCAGCGTCGCAGTTCCACCCAACTGTTGGGCAGATTCAGCGAAGCCCGACGCGAGCATCATCAGCATCAGCTCGAAATCCTTTCAAACTCAATCTCCCATCCCCGAGCCTCTGAACCCACAGCAGCGTAGCAGTTCCACCCAACTATTGGGCAGATTCAGCGAAGCCCGACGCGAGCATCATCAGCATCAGCTCGAAATCCTTTCAAACTCAATCTCCTATCCCCGAGCCTCTGAACTACAGCAGGGTAGCAGTTCCACCCAACTATTGGGCAGATTCAGCGAAGCCCTACGCGAGCATCATCAGCATCAGCTCGAAATCCTTTCAAACTCAATCTCCTATCCCCGAGCCTCTGAACCCACAGCAGCGTCGCAGTTCCACCCAACTATTGGGCAGATTCAGCGAAGCCCTACGCGAGCATCATCAGCATCAGCTCGAAATCCTTTCAAACTCAATCTCCTATCCCCGAGCCTCTGAACCCACAGCAGCGTAGCAGTTCCACCCAACTATTGGAAAGATTCAGCGAAGCCCGACGCGAGCATCATCAGCATCAGCTCGAAATCCTTTCAAACTCAATCTCCTATCCCCGAGCCTCTGAACCCACAGCAGCGTAGCAGTTCCACCCAACTATTGGGCAGATTCAGCGAAGCCCGACGCGAGCATCATCAGCATCAGCTCGAAATCCTTTCAAACTCAATCTCCCATCCCCGAGCCTCTGAACTAACAGCAGGGTAGCAGTTCCACCCAACTATTGGGCAGATTCAGCGAAGCCCGACGCGAGCATCATCAGCATCAGCTCGAAATCCTTTCAAACTCAATCTCCTATCCCCGAGCCTCTGAACCCACAGCAGCATAGCAGTTCCACCCAACTATTGGGCAGATTCAGCGAAGCCCGACGCGAGCATCATCAGCATCAGCTCGAAATCCTTTCAAACTCAATCTCCTATCCCCGAGCCTCTGAACCCACAGAAGCATAGCAGTTCCACCCAACTACTGTAAGGTAACTATACTTATAACCACTATATATCCCCAAAAAAGGTATATACTTATATAACCATACTTACTAAGTCCCATGATCCTCCAAGTAGGTTGTTCTGGGGTCCCTAAACCCTAAACCCCTAAATAAGGAGCCGCAAGAAGGTAGGTTCTTTGGGGTCCAGATGGGGCCGAAGGCCCCAATGGGGGCGAGAAGCAGGGACTTCTGAGCTGCAGGATCTTTGGGCCTTGAGGGCTCTAAGGTTTAGGGTTTAGGATCTTGGAGCCTTTAGGGCTCTATGGTTTAAGGTTTTGTTTAGGGCTCTAGGGTTTAAGGTTTTGTTTAGGGCTCTAGGGTTTAAGGTTTTGTTTTTTTTCCCTCTCGCATTCGCAAGGTTTTGTTTAGGGCTCTAGGGTTTAAGGTTTTGGTTTAGGACTCTAGGGTTTAAGGTCTTGTTTCGGGGTTCAGGGTTTAAGGTTTTGGTTTAGGGTTTAGGGGTTAAGGTTTTGTTTTGTGGTGTAGGGTTTAAGTTTAAGCTTTTGTTTTGGGGATTAGGGTTTAAGGTTTTGTTTTGGGGTTTAGGGTTTAAGGTTTTGTTTCGGGGTTTAGGGTTTAAGGTCTTGTTTTGGGGTTTAGGGTTTAAGGTCTTGTTTTGGGTTTTAGGGTTTAAGGTTTTGGTTTAGGGTGAGGGGAGCCACATGTTGTAAGGTCGGCTTGTTTCGGCTCACACACTCGCACAAGGCCGACATGGATTCCGGCAGTAAGTCTTCTGGAGTCCGGCTTGTTTCGTGTTTAGGGTTTGGGAAAGTCTTAGGGCTCCATTCTGCCAAAAGCGGCCGGCTGGAGACTTCAGTGTGAAACTGCAATGAAGCACTGACAGGCCGCAAGCTACAGTAAGTAACTACACCCTAGACCCTAAAAACTTTTAACCCTAAAACCCTAGATACTATAAACCTTAAACCCCAAAAACCCTAAACCCTATAAGCCCTATAAGCCCTTTTGCATCGGGCCTTTACCACCGCCCGGTAATCCCCACATTCCCTATAAGCCCTAAACCCTAAACTACAGTACAGTGAGTCCTACCAGTAAGGCCAGCGCCAGCTGATTGTCCGTCTCATCCCCGATGGAGCTTCGAATCGTAAGCCTCCACAGATTAGGGCTTATAGTGTTTAGGGTCTTAGGGTTTAGTATTTAGGGCGGGTTTCATAGGGTTTAAGGTTTTAGGGTTTATAGAGTATATAGGGTTTAGTGTTTAGGGCTTTAAGGTTTCTTAGGGTTTTAGGGTTTAAAGGGTATATAGGGTTTAGGGCTTTAGGGTTTCATAGGGTTTAGGGTTTTAGGGTTTATAGAGTATATAGGGTATATAGGGTTTAGGGCTTTAGGGTTTCATAGGGTTTAGGGTTTATAGGGTTTATAGGGTATATAGGGTATATAGGGTTTAGGGCTTTAGGGTTTCATAGAGTTTAGGGTTTATAGGGTTTATAGGGTTTAGGGCTTTAGGGTCTACGGGTACAGGTCCGAGCCGGTCCGATCTCTTTCTTCGGGTGCATGCACTCAGGTGGCAATATAGGATTTTCCGAAAATAGGGGACCCTAATATAGTACCCTAAATAGTAGGATCCTTATTATAAGGACCCCAAAATAAGGTCCCCCCTATTTTCGGAAACTCCCATATAGGAGCCTGACTTGCTAAAACTAAGGTTGAGGTCCATGTAGCTGGGTCCGTAGTATAGCCGCATAACGGGAACTCAAAGACAAGTTTTTGTTCCTGAGGATTGCCCTATACCAATGAGTCTAGATCTTCAGGGGTTTAGGGCTTCATGGCTTCAGTTTGGTGCCCCTAACTGGACTCTGCTGGTAGGGCTGCGAAGAAAACTATGAGCATGAGCTTCAGACTGTAGTGGCAGCCCGTCGGTAGCGACACGCATCCTTCACTGGACAACTAACCCCAGTTACACAGTAGCATGTTCCGCAATGCAGACGGTCTCTAAACCGACGTCCGTCTGTGCTGGGCGAAGCTTGGCTCGTTGAGTGTCGCGCATTTTGTCTCTAGGTGTTCAGGGATGGGGCTGCAGGGTAGGAGTTAGGGTTGGGGTCAACATGTGGACAACTGGAAGCATGAGGTAAACCCTATAAACTCTGAATCCCTGAAGCCCTAAACCTAAACTCAATTTCTCAATAGGTCGTGGAGAATATACTTGTGCACAGGCCTTGAACTGCGGATTCAACAAAGGGGTAGCCCGATGAATTCTGGATATGGGACTCAGAGGTTTTAGGGTTTTTAAAAGGGTTCAGGGCTTCGCGTAATTCTGAGCCCTCACATCATCGACATGAAATCGATCTGGGCCTTTCCAGCAGAACAGGCATGACGCCGAAGAGCATCAGCGGCCATTCTGCCCACGCAAGGGCATAGAGTACCTGAGCTACGATGTAGGTAGGGGGCTTCAAAAATTCGAAGGGCGCTTTTAGGCACGCTACAAGACTATAGTCATACTCGGGACTGTAAGGGGGCTATGACTATTTTAGTTGCAACAGAAAACGGTTTTGACCCCCTTTAAGGGCTCCGACAGATTCGAACAGTTCCCCGGCAGCCCCTTGACCCGATACCTTCTAGGGTTTAGCTTGGGGCTAGGAGCTGGGGGTGTTAGGGTTTTGTGTGGGGTTTAGGCCAGGCCTTTACCTCCAGCCCCCAAATCACCGTTGCCGGGCTGCAATCTCCGTCCAAGAGGTGAGCGGCACACTGAGGTAAAACAGGACCAGGCACCTCTTTGCGGAGACATGGGGTCTGATTGAAGACTACTGGGTTCTAGTTAAGGGCTCTACTTTAAATTAACATGCTTAGAAAACAGGACATTTACTATGGATCCCTATTATGGTAACTTACAATGAGTTCCTTAACAAGAACTCAGACAGTAGGTTCAGTCAGAAGTAAGAAGACTCGAATCTTCAGCAATTGGTTCTTTCCGGAGCCTGCTTCAAAGAAGAAACTTCATGACTGCCGCATACAAACTTTTGCAGATTTGAGGCTTCTATTCTTGCCGTTTCACGACATAGACTAGTTCGTCTGTCTGGGAAAAAGTCTCGGATGCGAACTTGTCGTACGGCCCCTGCAGACTGAATGCTAGGGGTCATCATCATCATTATCATCATCACTATACTGTGCCATCATACAGGGAACTCTGAACCATAAACCTTGAAACGCGTAAACTGCATACTTCGACAGATGCTCTGCAATTCTGTGTTTTATCTGTTTTGTCGGCTGGAAGGTCTGCTGCAGCCGATTAAGAGATAGGCCTTAATGATCAGAAAGAGTTGCAGTGCACATTTTGCAAGACTTCTGTCGGCACTATAGGAGGGAACCCTACTGCTAGTTCTTGCTTCGCCGATGCCCGCAACCGTCACCCAAACTCTTAACACCCTGAACCATACCCTGAACCAGAATGCCAAGCCTGCGATCCCTGGGCCCTGATCCACTCATGGCACTGGTTTCTGACGCGGGGTCGCCCGAACAGCCACCCCTATGTTAACGCCCTATGTGGGATTAGGCTTAAAAGATTGGAGGAAACCATTTAAAAAAGCCGGGTTGCGTGACTAAGATGGCCTGCCACCAAGCGAGAAACTCGAAAATGAAAGCGTAGTGCTCCTGCTGCTGTCGAGTGTTGCAAGGGAGCTGCTTTGAAGACCTAGGTTTCTTCAGATAAGGGGATCTCAGAAAAACAGGGGACCCTAATATAGTATCCTTCATAGTAGGATCCTTATTATAAGGACCCCAAAATGAGGTACCCCTAATTTTTGGAAGCTCCCATATCTAAAGCCAGAGTCGTTGGTTGGGAGACCCTGGATTGCTAAGATTTGGCTGCGTTATGGGTTTAGCTGTTCTGTTGTCTATAGGGCTTCGTTTTTAAATGCCTTACCAGTTGAGCTTTAGTAACTTTAGTATAACAATAGTATAATATAGCTCAAAACCTTATTCTGATTATTAGGGCCCCTGTATTATGGAACTCTACTATAGATGCCTTATAGACTTATAGATCCCTTTGAAGGGAACCCTTTTACAGCTGAGCTCCAGCTTAAAGCCAGGCAGAGGAAAATAGATAGCTAGACCGGACTGGCTCTATGTATCTGTGTACATAATACATATACATATATATATATACACACGTGCACACATATCTGTCTTCATATATATATATATATATACACACACACGTAAAGATGTATCTGTATCTTTCTCACACTCTCTCTCCCCTTTCTATGTATATATGCGCGTATACACATAGGTGAAAAAGGTAAACCAATATAGACATATACACACATATTACAGCAGAACACCTTCCGAAACCTCCTTGCCCCTCAACTCCTACACAGACGTCCTCAGTCCGGATCATTAAATGCAGGATCTTGATGTAATATCCGTGATCTTCGTGTTCACTACATTTTGCCTGACTTGCAACCGTGTGGCTTCCAGAAGCCGGTCCAGCTCTGCGACTGTATACCCTATAAACAACCCTACAGAACAAGATCAATGAAAGGATTCCAAAGACCGTCATGACCCGTCTGGTCCGTCGTCATGCTCGCCCGCTGAAAGCTGGATGCTGGTGCCTTGCCAACATCTGCAGCTAGACGAGCTTTGCTCAGGACTTTAGGAAGCGTCCCAGTACCTCATACTCATATATATATATATATATATACTCTCCGAGGGACTGGCCTACACAACTACATATGCATGTACATATATACACTCCAAGGTGCTAGCCTACGAAACTACACATGCATATACATACAAACTCTCCAAGGTGCATGCGCATAAAACTAAATATGCACGTACATATATGCTCTCCAAGGTGCTAGCGTACAAAACTACACATGCATATACATACAAAACCTTCAAGGGGCTGGCGTACAAAACTACACGTGCATATACATATATACTCTCCAAGGTGCTAGCCTACAAAACTACTATCCCGAAACCAAACACCGGTTAGGGTTTGGGGTGGTGGGGCATTAGTTCCTCTCTTTCGAGTGCCTTCCTCAGCAGGCCTCTAAATCTCCCATCTTGGTTTCTTGCTAAGGGATCTATAAGGGCTCCTTTAAAGGCTTGGGGCTCAAGGTTTAAGTTACCATAACAGGGGTCTATAGTAGATAATATGGTTTCCTTATTATGGTAGCTTCTGTTCAGTTCCTTAACAACAACCCAGGATCTTAAGGGCCCTCTACGACTCCGATGTAATTGGTCCTCAGTCTTTTTGTCACTCGTGCTCGACAAGTCAGACGAGGTTCTCAGTCTTACAACGACTATGATCGCTCCCTCGTCCTACTAACCATCTGTCAAAACCCAATGTATTGTCAGAAAGACTATTGCGACTCTTCCTGCAGTTTTTGATCGCCAGAAGTGGTGCAATTAGTTTCAGGGTCTAGTAGCGTTCCCGAAAAGGGTCTGAGCTTCTCAGTTAGAGCCGGGCCTCGCATCAGCTCCTACAGGTTCATGTCGCTTCATGTACTGCATAAGCGCCTTCATTATACTCCCTGTCATACACCCTAATAACCTAATAACCCTAAACCATACCTGTCCTCTAACGGGAGAACTTGACAATTGGAATAGGGTTTTGGTGCCCCATTGTACTATACTTATAATGAGAAACCCCCAAAATAACATATGGAACTATTTAAGCCCTATTGCGGGTTCCTGTGAAGGTGGCACCAGGGCTCCATGCAATTACCCGACAGTTAGGGGGCCCAAAGGGTCCAAAGTAACTGTATAGCAGAATGTAGCGTTTCTATATTAGGGAATGCTATTATGATTTGGGGAAGTATCCTCCATAACAATACCTAGGACCCTTGGGGGGGTCGGGTCTGAGGTTTAGGGTCGGGTCCAAGGTTTAGGGCTTGACGTGCTCACAACTCGGACACAGGCCAGGCGAGGTTCTCTGGTGCAAGTGGAGGGCTTTTGGGGCTTTAGAAGGTTAAGAGATGTTAAGAGTCCCTAAACCCCAAACCCTAGTTAAGAGCCGATTGTTTAGGGAAACCCTTCCGCGCCCAACTCTAGCCCCCAAGCACAAAACAGCCACAACCGATCAAGGCCTTCCCAAGCTCCACATTGTCGATGTCAATGTTGCCTGAAATTGAGGTGGAAATCATGGAGCCCTAGAAATCTTTACCTTGCCGTTGTTTAGGGCTTAGTGGCTTAGTGTGGAGTGTAGGCTTTGCTTTAAGAACTTACGGGTAAACTTGGACGTGCTGGCATATATGAATGAAGGAGCATATCTGATCATGATCTTGGACCCTTGGGGCAGTGCCCGGCAGATCCAAGTAAACAGGAGGACTTTTGCGTTCGGACATGGGTGTTCGCTGACTGAAGTTGCACTGAAAGCTGAGAAAATCGGAACCTTGCCTTGCCCGGTTTCACTGAAATCCCGGCTTAATTATCTACAAATTCGCACAAGTCTTTGGGGCACGCACTACAGCATAATCACATGAGGACTCTGAAAGGGGATATGGATCCTGACGGTTCAAACTCCTATATGGTACAACCCAAGCCTCCACAAAGAAGTCGTCGAACACCTGGAAACAATTGAAGTGCTAACCCTTGGTCATTAACCGACTGCACTGCCCTGTAAACCCCGGGCTCTAAATCCGACAACGGCCTCCAAACCGAAACACAAAGCCGGAGGCAAAAATTGCGGCTGCGAGGCAGAGGCCGGGAGCACCAAACTTGAGTTCAGCACAGATTGTGGAGGTCATGTCGTAATGCTTCCTTCGGGGTTTCGGAAGCAGTATCGGCTGAGGCTGTAGGGTTTCAGGGCTCACATGACACGGGGTCCCCCGTCTGCTGGCTTGCTTCGGGGTATGGGCTCCCGCGGGAACCCTGGCCCGAGGGCCTACTCCCTCCACAGTCCGCGCGTCTCAAGGTCGGTACGGCCCCTTTCGGGGTTGAGACAAGCACTCGTTCCCCCGACTGATCTTGTAAAACCCGGCCCCCCGAAAAACACCTGCCAAACCATGACGAAAGGAAACCTGCAAGTTCCAGGTCGGGTCATCCGAGGTCTCTCCAAGGATATGGGTGCGCTCCACTCCCCCGACTCGGACATGAGCTTGTGGTCGCACCACCAAAAGCATTCAAGGCAGAAAGGTAACACGTCCCTCTCTCTCTCTCTCTGTCTCTCTCTCTCTCTCTCTCTCTCTCTCTCTCTCTCTCACTCACTCTCCCTCTTCCGAAATCATGGCTTCAGAAGTGTGGGCTGCGGGTTCAGAGGACTTGCAGCCTTTTGCTTCTTTTCACCGGCCGTTCAGAGGCGTCTCAAGCGCAGCAGGGGAGCTAAGCTAAGCTCTACGAGACTCTAAGCCTAAGCCTAAACGCTCGCGCAAAGTAATGCTTGTAGCGGGATACCCTGAGTGCATCCCCTGAGCTCCAGGCTGTATTGGTTTCAAGTTCGACAGGACTGAGACCTCTTTAAGTTGCACATCGAACTTGTGGGGAGCTTGGTTCAGGATACCAACTGCCACGAACTCCTACACTCCAAACCTTAGAGTGTGGGACGCCCTGAAACCCCCCATATTTAGAGTATTTTCGCATGCTTTGCAGCGACAATCCACAAATCATTGCAAAACCTTGCGCGTGGAAAAACAGGACCGCCCTAAACACCAAGTCCTAACTGAAACCTCAAAACCCCAAGCCCCCAACTCCAAAATCCCACCGATCCTAAGCCCCGGAGAACCCGAAGCCTAAAGCAATATCAACCCGAAACCCGAAACCCCAAACCCTGAAATCGCCCAAGCCCGCAAGAGGCGAGGCGCATGAGCATGTAGGTGCTGGTTCCGGAGAAGAGCACGAGGATCTGCCTCGCGTCTTCCGGCCTGAGTATTCTTCTCCGCGAACACATGCAGGGACGGGTATAGGGTATGAATGGGTTTTGGGTTTAGGATATCGGGTATAGGGGTCTTTATGAGGTTTGGGGTTTGGGTTTTGGCTTAGCGCCTCCTTGAATGTTTCTGTCCAAGGAGGGAGCTCTAAGCCTCAGGCAAAGTGGGCGTGAGGGCGAGCGTGTCCTTTTCAAGGAGGTAGCCGACAAAAACACCTGGGAGATGCTTGGCTACTTTTCTCCATGCAGACATATTATCGAAGCCTTCATGATGAAAATGCGGCTTTGACGAATTACGCAGGCTTCTATAGTAAGTGCCTTTCTTGGCCCCTTGTCCTCAGCCTGTCGACCTTACACATTACAGTTCAAAGAAGCCTTCGGTACCCGACCTCGGGACGTCTTCTCGACTGAAGCCTCGCAACCCCTGCACCACCCTGAACCCTGATTAAACTCTCAACCCCGAACCCCAAAGCCCCTGTGGTGCGGGTACCTGAACTGGCCTCAGTTTATGTACGCAAAGCCAAAGCCGAAAAAAACAAACACGGACTGCATGAAAAGCATCGGAGTTCTGCCTCGATAGGCTGTTGCAAGGAGTGTTTGTAACGCGCAGGCAAGCGAGATGAGGTCTTAGACTACACCCTGGGGATCCATGTACCCAAGTAGTATATACTTAGGCCTTAATGTAGTCCCTATATTCGTACTGTGGGGGCAAAGTATATAGTATATACTATTTGGGTACATGGATCCTTTGGGTCAATAAGACCTTGGACTTGATTTCGTGAGGTCGGGGGGGCATCTCGAAAGACCTGAATGTATGTTTTCGGCGATGTCGAGGGGCCGATGCCGAGGAGGAAGTAGGCCAGGAAGCAAAGAAGCTCCTGAGTGGTCTAAGGGGTAACTGTGAAAAGGATCCGGTAGTGGTAGTGGTAGTGGTAGTGGTGGTGGTGGTGGTGGTGGTGGTGGTGGTGGTAGTGGTGGTAGTGGTGGTAGTGGTGGTAGTGGTGGTAGTGGTGGTAGTGGTGGTAGTGGTGGTAGTGGTGGTAGTGGTGATAGTGGTGGTAGTGGTAGTAGTGGTAGTAGTGGTAGTAGTGGTGGTAGTGGTAGTAGTGGTAGTAGTGGTAGTAGTGGTAGTAGTGGTAGTAGTGGTAGTAGTGGTAGTAGTAGTAGTAGTAGTAGTAGTAGTAGTAGCAGTAGCAACAGTAGCAACAGTCGGGCTTGTGGCCCACTCTCAACGTGCCATTCTGATTGACGCATCACGGCTTCGCGGGCTTTGCAGGGTTGCAGGGTGCAAGGTTCAAGGTATCAGGTCTTGTTCATGCTGGGAGCCTGATGCAATGATGTGACACAGTGACAATGCCGTGAGGTTCAGAAGCGGATCCGAAAGTAGACAGCTACTGATATAAAGGAGGAGCAAGGCGTGGCACTACAAGTTAGTGCAGCTCCACGCACGGTGTCATGATCGCGAGGTTGCGGGTTCGGGCTTAAACCGTAAACCCGGCATGCCCCAGATTGCCAAAGGCTCGTTCACGGCATAAAAGTCCAAGTGGATGCAAACATACCTGATGCGATCGCATATTATACGGGCCTTAATTATTAGAATAGGGTTTTGGGGCCCATCCTACTGTAATCATAGTAATAAGGAAGACCCCCAAAAAAGGATTGGTAACTATTCAGGCACCTAAATCAGGGGTTGTCCTATACCAAAGATCCCCGAGGAAGAGTCCCCTAGAAGAAAATACTAAGAACCACGGGAACATAGCTTATGGCTGAGGTGCGGACAGGTGTGTCTTGAGCGACTGCCACATGCAGTCATCACTAAGCTATGGCAGTTATATTGCGAACATTGCTGTGGATTTCCTGCAAGTGCTGTGAGCCTTCCTACTTGCTTCATGACAAAATAACTGCAAGATTGCAACTTCCTAATTAAGTAAGTGTCGACAAAGAAGAAGTGACAAAACATTTCGAAACCTCGCATGAAGCCTTGCAGAACCCTCAAAAGAAGGTCCCAGAAACACCGTCGCAATCAGGGTGGCCCTGTTTCCGTCATGCAGCTTGGTTGAAATAATAGTGAGGCGCACACACACGCACACCAGACCAGATCGACTAAAATAAAACGGAGTACCGCTGGGTGGGGTTCTAGGTCTGAACGAAAAAATATGTCCCGACTATTCAATTAATTTGCCGGTGGCCGTGTCCGGACTTTGATGCACTATTCACTCCAGCACAACTTTGAGTCTAAACTGCCCAAGACGATATCCGTTTGAGGGGGAGACGGTTCGCACACTTTAGCTTCAGGTGCTTCTTCCTCCACGGGCTTTGGAGTTCTATTGCAGCATGCACTCAGATTTGGAGCTGCAGCATTACAGCCATAATATAGAGGCCTTAATAATTAGAATAGGGTTTTGTGGCAATTTTACTATAAATAATATAAGGAAAACCCAAAATAGGACAGGTAACCAATTAGGCCGCTATATTAGTTGTGCAACAGACAGGGACGGTTTGGACTCGCGCGACTAGAACTCTCCAAGCGAAGCAGTATACTGTATCTAGATACTTTACTATATTAAAACATACAAAACTCTCATATACATCTACAATGTACTGTTATATTCTTTTTCATATTTTATGACATTAAGATAGCATTTATGCATCATATACTATTGTCAATTACAAAGCCTGACGTCTGAAGGTCTGTTAGGCTCGCGGAGCGGATGGCTGCCTTGAACCTTCCTGATAATCCTGCGTTCAAGACTCGAGCGACACACTACCAGCATAGAACCATTCAACTCAAATCCCAGAACAAGTATGGAGGACAGTCAGGATTCAGGATATCGCTTCGGGGCAATGATGAGAAACTGGTATATAGTTCTGGAATGAATAACACCTCTGAAGGTACCACGGGCAAGAAGCAACTTTTCCAAGTGCAGAAGTGTCCCAACCCATGCGTATACAGCCGAGATGCAACATTGGGGTAAGCGTCAAGAGGGTCGCAAGCCAAATGTACATGTCAACCTCCGACAACTTGCGCTGGGGAACCGTCGCTTTAGGCTATAAAGCACACGACCTAACATCGGAAACGCTGCGCGACGGGCCACGATGCTGTAGTGTGCACAATGACCTTCGATAATCTATGTCGAGATCGACGAGGCAACAGTAGCAGTAGTGGCATCAGAACCAGAACGAGACAGTCGTCGGAGCTGCTGTCGCGATAGCCGTAAAGCGGCCGACTAGCAGTATCACAAGTAGATAGTCCACCCCCCATGGGAAGCTGTAGAAGTAGACAGCATCCTCGTCGGAGGTCGTACCGGCAGAAGTAGTCATCGTCATTGCTGTCGTCGCGGCAGTGCTGGCAGTGGTACCGGCCGTAGTGGAAGTGGCATTCTACACTTCAACGATTGCCGGCTCAATCATAGTTGTCGTGACCTTTCTCGTCCTCGTCCTCGTGGCGGACGTCATAGTCGCAGTAGTCGAACAGGATCGAGGGAAGCGGGCTTGAAGGTTTGACAGGGGTCTCACAGTCTCAACTTGTGGCATGAGATGTGCGGGCATTGTGTGCGATGAGTTGCTTGAACGGTCCCCCCTGCAGCGTAAATAAACCTGTGAATTGACCGGATCGCAGGGGTAGCTGGCACAAGCGTAATTGAGGCTTGTTTCCAAGCGGATGCTATACCCCGCACCCTCAAGGCCCTGCCTCCACCACATGGACGACAATGCGACCCAGTCGTTCCCGCAGGTAAGACTCGAAGCCTCGGGGCTTAGGGTTTAGGTTTTTGTTGGTTGCAAAGTCTATTTGTTGGGTACTGCTCCCATTCAGTAGCCATCTCGATGCGTAGTATAGGGGCCTTAATAGCTAGAACAGGGTTCCCTTTCAAGGGTTCCTTTAACGGGCTTACTTTAAGGCCTTAATAATTAGGGTTTGGGCCGGCCCATTATGCTATAATGAAAATCAGGACCACCTCCCCCAAATAGTATTGGCAAGAATTGAGACCCCCATATTCGATTGTAAGTTCATCCTTGCAACAAGTTCCTAAGAAGCGAAGGAACCAACCCCTAGACCTGCAAGAGTTTAGGGTTTAGGGCATAGGGTTCCCTGGGACTAGTGGACTTTATCTGCAAGTTGGGTCTTGGAAGCGAGAAGGACAATCTGTCGGGGTCTGAACAATAAGACTATATGGCTATGGGCTCTAGTCTTGCTGTAGTTCGATAGAGGGAGTTGGAAGGGCTACTGGCTGCAGTACTGCTGAACATGTTAAGTCCCCGATGTCATCTATCTGCATTCTTGGCCGTCGGCACGAAATTTGAGGACCCAAGGTGCGCAGTCACTCCTCTCGCATGATGTTGAGCAGCCAAAGCCCATGTACAAAGGAGAAGGATCGAAACCCTTGACCCAAGAGCCCCCTGAACCGTAAAGCCTTGTAAACGCTAAAGCCTCAAACCCCAAACTCCCAATATAGAGGCCTTAATAATTAGAATATGGCATTGGGCGTTCTTTATTACAAATCTAGTTTCATATCCTCCAAAACCCTATTTTGATTTTTAAGGCCCCGATATTACGGCCTCTCGAACTCCTAGCAACAATTCCGTGTCCAAGCATCTGAACTGGCGCGGGCAAGCGATCTGTCCACTTCTCGCCTTTGAGTTCTCCCCGAAGATGAACTGATGACCTGTTAGTCAAGATTAGTCAGTAGGATTACAAACTGGCAGCACATGAGCGCAGCAAAGTAAATATTGCAGCCGAGGCTTTACGTAGGCAGATAGCACCGGACTTGCCTCGTTTGTGATCCAGCTAGTTCCCCGGACGCGTTAAAAGACCATACTTTATGCTTTGCACAATATTCGGGACACAAACAGTTCACTATCTGATTGTTGAGGCCGCCATTGAAAATAAATCAGGCCCCCACACTGGAGTCCGAGTCTCAGGTTGGTTCTTTTTATAATGCTTTCTACGCCCTCAACCCTAAACACCTAACCCTCACGGCACCCCCAAACCTTACACCCCTGAACCCTAAACCCTAGCCTTACAGGATGTTCTGCAGACTCGGGCTTCGAGTGCAGAGGCACCCCCCTGCCAACAAAAATAATCCTTTTTCCCACTGCCAAAGGGAACGATTGAGGGTTTAGGCTTTTCTATATTGCAATGGGGCTGCCGCTCTGCAAGAGTAACCGTTTATCGTCCAGATACAACTCTATGTGTATTATATATATATATATATATATATATGTGTGTACATGCAGACACACCGTTTATGTACCCTCGAAACCCCATGCGAACTACTAAAGCCCCATTAGCCCACCACTGCTCGGAAACCTAGCTTTGAGTTTGAGAGGAGCAGCGGATGGCTCTCCACATGACGAGGTTTCGCAACGTGTCGTGGCTCAATACCTGGTATGCATCTGAAGACTTCAGGGTTCAGGGATGTTTCTGGATCAGGTAGGCTGTAGAGTTATGGGAAGCTTTCAGCGTCTGGAACTGTGCAGAGATACACGGCATTGGACCTCCAGGAGATGCAGCAGCAGGCTGGATCCAGAGGTGTTATGGGATATTTATTGTGCGGTCCTAGGGCTTGCGAATTTTAGTGGTTTAAACGGATAAAGGCCAACCTGAACGCCTGAAAATGCCCGAAAGAAGGCTGGTAGCCCAAGAAGCCGTGATGGACAGCGACGGAAGCAAGACTGTAGAACACAGTGCACACTGGAAAGCTGTGTGAATCTGGACGAGTCTTTGTTTCGGAACAGAGACAAGCCTACCACGAAACTAGGACCAACTAGGACAACATGAATCAACATGAAGCCCAACAACCAGAACACTAAAACAAACCTGAACGCTGCACCATGAAAAGCCTCAATAAACACGCTTACCCTGGACAAACTGTGGACCCACCCCCGCCACTGCTGTGGAGCTGCCATCCACCGCCCGAGAGACAACTCGTAGGTGAAGGGCCTCTTGCCTCCCAATTACTACCAATTACTATTTTCTGTTCTTACAGTTCATATACCATTGTTCATTATTCTTATTGCTATTATCACGGTCTGTCTGTCATGGCAGCGCAGATACTATTGTTTATTATTCTTATTGCCACTGTAAACCCAAAACGGGGTTGACTCTTTGAGGGTCCACGGCTTGCGAGATAAGGTTTGAAGGTTGGGGTGAGGGGCTGTAGGGTTTGAGGGCTGCAGATTTACGAGGTAAGGTTTCAGGGCTCTGGGGGGCTTTGAAACTCAGAGTTTCGTTTTCATGCTCGGACGCAGCACCGGAAGGGGGTTTACTCTAAATCCTTGGCTCTTAGGGTTTATGGTTTAGATGTCAGCCCTCCACCTGGCAATCCGACCGTGGATGCTTCGTTGGAGCCCAACTTTCTATGTAGTCTCAAGTGGCATACTACAGGGGCCTCAATAATTACCCCTGCCATTCTGGGGTTCCTTATTGTAACTATGGTATAACGGGCCTCATCCGGAACTGTAAAAGGAAACCCTGAAACCACTTCTACGTCTGAAACTTGCGTGTCTATGAAAAGATTCGACAGGCATCGTTAGCAGCAATAAACACAGGGGTTGACCCTAGAACCTGCAGCCCTAAAACGCCCTAAACCGCACGAAATTTTCGTTTTCGATAGTTGAAGAAGTGCTGTGCTTTACAGATTTACGGTGCTGAAGGCAGTCGAACATAGGGCCTTCAGAATTCGGCTCTGGGGGGGGGGGGGTATTCTACTACAGTTCTTATTGAGGCACCCTAAGGAACAGGGACATGTAAAAACTACAAGTACATGTAAGAAGCCCTCAGTAGTAGTAGTGGTGGTAGTGGTAGTAGTAGTAGTAGTAGTAGTAGTAGTAGTAGTAGTAGTAGTAGTAGTAGTAGTAGTAGTAGTAGTAGTAGTAGTAGTAGTAGTCGGAGTAGTAGTAGTAGTAGTAGTAGTAGTAGTAGTAGTAGTAGTAGTAGTAGTAGTAGTAGTAGTAGTAGTAGTAGTAGTAGTAGTAGTAGTAGTAGTAGTAGTAGTAGTAGTAGTAGTAGTAGTAGTAGTAGTAGTAGTAATAGTAGTGTAATAGTAGTAGTAGTAGTAGTAGTAGTAGTAGTAGTAGTAGTAGTAGTAGTAGTAGTAGTAGTAGTAGTAGTATTTGTAGTAGTGGTAGTAGTGGTAGTAGTGGTAGTAGTATTAGTAGTGGTAGTAGTGGTAGTAATGGTAGTAGTGGTAGTAGCGGTAGTAGTAGTTCTAGTTCTAGTTCTTCCATCAACTACCGCAAACCCGTCATGTTCCGCCAGTCCGAGGCACAGTGCAGCTCCAAGCCGCGAGGAGCGTAGGGCATCGCCACACGCTCAAGGAAGCCACTCTCGCCTCGGTTTAGGGTTTAGGGTGATGTATTCTTTTAGGTGCCTCTTTTGCACTTCGGCGGTATGTTAGGATTGTTTAGGGCTTGGGGTATATAGGGTCTATAGGGATTACTGTGAAAGGTGCGGGGCTTGCGGTTGCGGCTGTGTGGTCTGGCGATCTGGCGATTACGGCTGCACAGTCTGCCTGGCCAGACATGGCCCTTCGGGGCTTAACTTCGAGCCTGGAGGTTTTGCACTCAAGCTCTGCGATGTGACCTACACGGATAGCCCTGCCCTAGCACTGAGCGTGCTCTGCAAGCTGTTTGAGGGTTCTCGGTGCTGTTTGTGCGGAAGTATGTTGCGCGCTACTTTGGACCGGCCACCTTACACGAACAAGGGAGCTACACAACGGCAGATGGTGCGACGATGAAAGAGGCAGTCCTGAAGCCCGAATCCCTCAGTATCCCTCAGTCACCGCAAAAACAATTGACCAACGAGCTTCACAAAAGAATCCTCGCCAACTTCTAAACGAAAATCCTTGAGCACAATCCGGTCCGGCGGGAAACGCGTACACTGTTAACGCCATAAACTAAGCTTCTGGGCTTAAGTACTGGTGTCACGCACTTGGTCGTGGCAGGACAGCATGCATCTGGAGGCGGTGCCGCAGAATCAGATGTGGACATAAGACTCTGTAGTTATCGAAACTGGGTTTCCTGGGTGCTAGAAAGTACCACCTTCCGGCCCGTGAGACTCTAAACTTAAACCTTCAGGGACCCGATCTGTGCAGATTCCCGGCATCTCGGGCCCTTAAATCCTTCAACCCGACATCGCAATCCTCAAGCCCCTTGCATCTGAAACAATAGGTATGTTGCTACCTTGGTACCAACAAGACATGGTGGTTGCAGATTCGGGCCGTCCAGGATTTAGGCCTGAAGCCACGATGCCAAACATGGTAAAAGTATGCAAGAAAGCGCTCATCATGGGAATAAGCCGGTCCCACAATCCTACATGACCGGGGCGAACGTAAATTCACAGTAAAGTCAAGTCACTGCAAGAAGCACTATCTAGGTTGGGCTTTCTGCCTTTCTTCAACGGTTCCGGGCTCTCTGTCTTCATTCGTCAGCGGAGCCCAGGCACAGAAAAGGGACTCGATGGAATCCGGCCGCGTGCCCCAAGCCCTCGCGCGCTCGTAGCGGCCCCACCTTGAGTGGTGCGAGGGGAATGAACTACTGGAAAAATCTCTTCGAAAGGGGACATGCTTCTGATTGCGTGAAGTTTCGGGATTCGGGCGTCCGTGCTACGGCTACGGGATTTCGGGAGAGCGGGTTGGGAGCTTGCATAAGGAGGCCTCCATAAATAGAGTAGGGCTTGTGAATTTATTGCTACAACTCAGTATGATATAAGGGACCCTTGAGCACAAGAATAACCGCTTGTTCAGGCTTCTGTATCTACACAAGGATTCATGTCGAGAAATTCTTCTTATCTCTCGAAAATCATGAAACTCCTACTCCTGAGCCCCCACTCCTGACCTTTAAACTTTAAACATTTATCCCGCACGACTCTTATTCACAAGCACAACAACCCCAAGCCTTAGCCAATTCGCGAACCGAAACATTTCAGGATGCAGAGTCTAGAAACCGTACTTGGCCGACTGCTGAACTTAAACTTTTAGTCCGTCCCCTTATTGTACTTCATATAGAGACCCCAAAAGTTAAAGTCCTAAGAGTCAACCAGAAGAACGCCAAGTGTAAACACCCCCACGCCTAAGGCTTTTTCATCGACATCTCAGTAGGGATAGGGTTTAGGGTTCAGGGTTTGGCCTAATCGGAAATTTGGATCACAGAAGCCTTGGAGGTTGCACGGCTTGCTGGCTTCAAAACGATAGTACATTGCATGCGCTTCGAATAGGATTCTGCTTCTTGTTACAAGGATCCTACTGCTTTAATTTAAATCCTGTGTCCGCGACTTACCCAAAACTTGTTCCCAAATGGCCTCCTCAACAAGTTCTAAAGCCTTCAAACCAGACCCTGGAACGCGGCCAAGCCCGGCCGATCTTTGCGAAGCCGCAGGCCGATGTCGAAACAAGTCATGGGCTCACTGGCAGAGGTTGCCTTGCTCGCGGATCCACCGTGGAGGTGAGGGAAGCGACACAGGCATTGCCGTCGCTCTGAACCTGCTCGCTATGACCGCTATGAAGTCTTCTCCGTCCCATCTTCCAACCTACGCACCTTGCGGGCCTGCACGATTGCAGCTGCCTCGGCATCTGGCACGCCAGTTGAGAACAGGTGAATTTTGATTGCAAGCTCAGGCCATGTGCTGATGAGGTCAGCATAGGCCTGAAGCTTGAGAACCTCCGTAGCGTGGTCTTTGATGTAGGAGAGGCAAGCCCTCTCGAGCTGCGCGGCCTCGAAAACATGTGCCTGGCGAAGGACGCTGCAGACCTGCTCTGCGCTGAGCTGTTTGCAAAGCTGTGCTTCGCACCACCGTTGAAGCCGTTCCACCTGGGTGGCTGTCAAAAGTGTGCCCAGCACGTCTGAGCAACCCATGACAGGACCCAACATCATGCAGTTTGTCTAAACATGAGAAACCCACTGACACGCACAACCCAGTGGTACTGAATGCTTCTGGTCGGTGACATTTTTGAATCAGGTGATCTAATCGACGAACCAATGCTGACAAGTCAACAGGACTGGTTTAGCTATACGGATCACACGACGCAGGGCATCAAGCAACACAGAAACAGCAAAGCGGCACTATAGTGACTATGGAGTTTGATGTGAAAGACGAAGAATAAAAATGAGAATGATGCTGATACTACTACTAGTCATAATAATAAGATTAATAATACTACTACTACTACTACTACTACTACTACTACTACTACTAATAATAACAATAATAATAATAACAATAATAATAATAATAATAATAGTAATATTATTAATAATAATAATAACTCCGTTTCTTACAAAATGCATTGAATGAGGCTCTCGGCCCTGGACCATGGCCCCATTGCTTAGGTTGTCCCACGAAAACTGCCCCAAGCCCAGGCCGTGAATTCGCGAACCGAAGGCCCCAATCATACTTCGAGCTCGCCTAGTAATATACAGCACCAAGGGAAGCATTCACATGGACGAAACAACCTGGTCTTGAGCCTTGCTCGCGAAATTTGAGACGCGAGCCACAAAAAAAGACAGTGGCGCCTGCGCTTGCCGACATGATGTGCTGCTAAAGCAGGGGATTGCGATTGCCACTGCTAACGACTATCTGTTTCATGCACTCATGACTTCGAAACATGCACGGTCAACCCGTTTAACGAGTACGTAGCAACACCGTGGCTGCTATGACCATCGCAACGAAAGCCTCGTTACGATATCAAACGCATCGCCAGAGATATCATACTCCTCGCGGTCATGTTATTCATCCTCATGCTGGACCTTCAGGAACAACATCTCTACAACTTGGTAGAGCTTTAGGCTCGACGGGAACCTTAATATTAGGTGCCATCTCAGCACCGATTCGCCATGCATTGTCGAAACCGGCAGTCGACGCTGCACATTCAAACACGCCTTTATGGCAATGTCATCTTCTTCCACATCTACCTTTTTCAGAACCGTCGTAGATATCGCGACTATCAGAAAGTCGTAACCTCGGGAAGAAACCCTACCGACTTCTACGATAACAGCAGCGAAAAACACACGCATTCCACAGAAAACTCAGCCGAACGAGTTTGCCAGCTTTCTCACTTTGCGACGCAGAAGCAACCCCGACGAACTCGATGGTTGTTATGTTACGACAGCTCGTACTTGTATGCATATACATACGTACATACTAAAAGACACGCACACACACACACAGATCTACATACCTCCCGAATTCCACCGACCTGCATACATGAATACATACGTGTACAGTAAATACATACAGGCAGACCCATATACTGCAGGAAAGGGGGAAGAATGCCGTGGAGGTGAAGGAATCTTTGACAAAACACAACTTTCGCAACACCCCACCTGGTACTTGTGACTGACCGCCCATAATGCCTCCATCGGTGAAGGACGCCGGCTTCCGTCTTGTTTCACGGCATGGCTCGATGGCTCTGCTGCCAGGTCCTCGACTGACGGAAGCTTGTCGGTGTACAAGAAATTTAAGAAGGCTTTGAAGGTGGCCGCGGCACAATCCTCAATCGTGATGACCTTGGACACGGACTCCTGCATGCCTGAAGTCAGCTGCTTCTTGAGCACCTCCGATCTCGCGCAGAGAACTTGGGAGTGCGCGTGAATAACTTCACCCTGTAGCCTGAAATCCACGTCGCTGCAACTAGCTTCCTTGAGTAGAGCCTGTGTGTCATGACACAGGGTCGGTTCTGGAACATCCACAGCAGATCTGGCACAAAGCTGTGAGGAATATGCTCGCTGAGGCAAGACTTCCAAAACAAACTTCAAAGTCAAAGCGTCGTCTTGCACCCACTTCGATTGCAACAGCTGTTCATGGGACAGGCCGAAGAGTCCAACTGCCGCAGGAGGAGAACTTTCTGGATGCACGTCCGGTCCATATGATTTGCACATCGAACTTTTTTTGAATTCTTCGCTTGTCTTGCCCCATTGCACGAAGTCTCCACCATGAGTCTTGGCATAGATGCTGTAGCGAAAGGTGAAGGCATCGGTTGTGTAGTGCGGCATTATGGCAACGCAACCATGCTGACTCTGCCCCGTTGCCTGGTCAAACCCGATGAAGCCGCCGTTGGGATTGTAGATAAAGAGGAACTTGTATGACCCCACCTGAAAGAATTCAGATTCGGGGCAGGCAGTACATTTATGCTCAATGGCAGTTCGGAGCCAAGACATTTGAGTAAGCTTCCAAATGTACTCCCCTTTGGCAACCTCGTGGCCGAAACTGGCACACTCCTCACCGAATGTACGCAAAGGGCACTTTTCCTTCAGAGGACCTGTAAGTGGGACCGGGCCAGACGGGCCTGTGACAAGATGCTCTCCTTCAAGGTCTTCATCGATATGTCTTCTATACTGCTCCTCTTCTTGGTTGTCGTCCAGCTCCTCAGTGAGAATCATCCTCTGGACTTCTAGCTCTCGGCGCAGCCTTTGCCGCTCGAGAGCTTCGGCTGTGGCCTCTTGGAGTTCCTTCTTCCTTGCGACCGCCGCCTGCACCCGGGCTTTCGTGGTCTCGATCTCTGCGCGCAGCTCCTCCGCTGACATGGGCGCACGATGGTACACGCACGAAGGCAACAAGACTACAGGACTTTTCTCTCCTGCCTGTCGTGCTCGAGCCACTCATTTTCCGGATGACGTTGAAATGGCGACAGCTTCAGGCAGCAACATCCGGTCTACAGCAGAAAGTCTGTATGTCGCGCACTCCCTACTTCTCACTCGGCTCTGCCTTTTCGGAGCTTGTGCCAAGTCTGGGTAATAAGCCGCTACACTACATGCCAATGCCAGGAACTTCAGCTCCTGACCGCGACTCAGACGTCACACCCAAGCCAAGCGCACTAAATCTTCACTTCATGCCTCTGGCATGCACAGCCGAGTAGCGTCTCGATGACGCTTTTGGTGACTCTGAGTAGGGCCATGGCCTGCTCATAAAGGCAAGCAGCAAGGGTTACCCATAGGCCCCATAGTAGTTCCTTTTTAGGGCTCATATCTGAGCCCCCAAAAGGAACTACTATGGGGCCTATGGGTTGATGCCTTGCAGGAATACAAGTATCCGGATCACGCTTACAGGTCAGAAACCCCTGCATTTCACGCACCGACACCCACAAAAACTCTCCCTCTCTCCCTCTCTCTCGCTCTCTGTCTCTCTCTTTGTGAGCAGCATGAACACTGAGACTATGATGATTTGGGGTGCAGCTTTCAGCAAGAATAGTACGCACTCGTGGTACTGACTACTGCCTAGGGATCCCAGATTGCAGGAGCTTCCTGTCTCAAGGCTCTTGAAGTCCTAGCAGCAACGTTCGCGCCCAAGCTCCGGCCGTCTGCGTTGGGGATGAGATGTCATGTATGCCCGTTATCCCGCTTATCTCCAATGCAAGGAAGCAGGTTTGGCGGGGGCTTGGCAATTGGATGGGTGTGCGGTGCGGCACTTGGTAGCCTGTCTCGATGTCTCGCACATGCTAAAGACATCTGAAAACATCTGGGAGTTTTGTCTCTACATCGAACCGTGGAGAAAGACAGAGACAGAGAGTCAGAGAGAGAGAGAGAGCGAGAGAGGAGAGCCAGAAAGAGAGAGAGAGAGAGAGAGAGAGAGTCAGTGAGCGAATAAAACAGAGATAGAGGGAGAGACAGAAAGCAACAGAGAGAGAGAGAGAGGAGACAGACAGAGAAAGATCGACAGAGCTATCTGAATATCTGTACAGACAGCCAGCCTGACAGACAGATGGACAAACGAGACGACAGGCAGCCAGGCAGACTAGACCAACAACCTTCAAACTTGTACTGGAGTCTGAATAACTGGAACATGTCTTGAGGTCATACTGCACTACAGTGGCAAAGGAAGTATGACGGGCCACACACCCCTCAGTATTATGTTTCTGCACAGCTAACGTCGCCTGGAACATGAGGACAGCCATAAGCAGGAAGATCATCATGTGGACCTATTATGGAGCCTTACTCATTGGAATAGGGTTTTAAGGCCCAACATACTATAAGTTTAGTAAGGAACCACCAAAAATTGGATTGGTTATTAGTTAGGCCACAGGCCCCTATAGTAGAAGTTGGCAGGAGCAGGGTATCGAAAAGGGGTTACGAGGAATACGATCCAGGGCAGTTACCAGGTTGTTAGTCGGAGTTTAGGGTTTTCAGCTTAGGGTTTTATGGGTTTTGAGTTTAGGATTGATACTTCCACGACTTATCTTCCACACATCTCGCAGATGACGTGGGTTTTCAGGAGAGGACCCGAGAGCACAGAACATCAAATCACGACCGAGTCCCAGGGGTCTGGCTCCTACTGCAACAACATAGTGGCTGTCGTAAGAGTTGTTGTTTTGGTGGTATATGGTGGATAGATTATGGAGCCCTAAGCAATAGGCAATAGTATTTACACCAACTTGAAATGACAAAATGCCTAAATTGCATTACCTCCGGTCCCAAACCAAGAGCAGCAATCTTCTGTCGCAAGGTCATTCTATGACAACAAAAACCACTGAGACAGGGCGACAACACTGTGTAACAAGAACAGCATGAATAACACAGACAGAAACTAGCAATCACGAACCCCACCTGAGGAAAAAAACACAGTATTGTATTAACCGTCGTAACAGCAACGACGCCGTGCGAGGCCCCTCAGATACAAAAAAGCCCCCTCTGTTCCTCAATTTAGCAAAGGAGCCCCTCCACAAAAACAAAAAAAAAAAAAACACAAAGAACACTGCACACGCGCTGGGATGCGAGTGCATGCTACAATCCCTGTGCCCACCAAGCACTAAAGCCTCAGATCCTCCAACTATAACAAAACCAAGGGACTGGGTTCTGGGCTCTTGTTTAGGAATTTAAGTTTAAGTTACCATAATAGGTTGGTTTCTTCATTACGGTGACTTAAGTAAAGGCCCTTACTGTAGCAAGAACTAAGGCAAAAGTTGAACCTTCAAAAAGCTTAAACTCCGGAACCCCCACAGCAAAGCCTAAACTCTGAACCCCTCAACCTCACAAAGCCTCAACCCGAAATTCGGTGAACCCGAAAAGACTGCACCAGGTTGAATCCAAGGAACCGTCTCGAAAGACTCTGCCACAGGATCTTCAGCGTCAAACTCTTTCAAGCTGTCGCCGAACACCTGGCTAAGGGTTGCCGTACAGGAACTATGGGGTTCTAGCATAGGGTTCCCAGTAAAGGTACGCGCGCGGTGAGGTAATGTAACGTATGTGAGCTGGGCTTAGGCAATTTCGTTGACTCTGAAGGCTATGTCCAAATCACGGTTCCCTATTCTCAGTCTACCTGAACCCCCGAGTACGAGTAGCCTGTCAGGGACCTCACGTTCTTGCCTCCTAGTACTAGTAGAATCAGCAAGACCCTTCCCGAAACCCCTAAACTCGGCCCTAAACCCTAAAACTTGCTAACCCTAAAATTCCTAAACTCGGACCTAAACCCTAAACTTGTTAACCCTCAAATCCCTAAACTCGGCCCCAAACCCTAAACTTGCTAACCCTAAAATTCCTAAACTCGGCCCCAAACCCTAAACTTGCTATCCCTGAAATCCCTAAACTCGGCCCTAAACCCTAAACTTGCTAACCCTGAAATCCGTAAACTCGGCCCTAAACCCTAAACTTGCTAACCCTGAAATCCCTAAACTCGGCCCTAAACCCTAAACTTGCTAACCCTAAATCCCTAAACTCGGCCCTAAACCCTAAACCCCTAAACCCTATTGTCTCTACTTCTGCGTGGTGTTAGCATTCACCAAGGCGTGCAGATTTCAGAGTAAGATGGTGGTTCCCGGAATTAGGGGTACATTATTTTGGGTCCTATACAGGGATCTATTAGGACTCTATAAAGGGCTTAGGGTTCAGAGTTTCCGAAAGTTAGGGGTACCTTGTTTCGGGGCCCTTATAATAAGGATCCTACTATTTAAGGCAATATATATATATATATATATATTAGGGTCCCCTATTTTCAGAAACTCCCAGATGAATTCGGGGGGACCTGCGAAGGACTAGGGTAGGAACCTGAATAAGAAACCTTGGGCCTAAGGGTTCCTTTAAAGGGGTCTACAACGGTTACTATAAGGGATCTATAGGGGTACTATAATTATGTAGGAACCTGATTAAGAAACCTTGGGCCTTTATTAGGGTTCTTCATATGAATCCTATTATTTAAGGGGTTACAGGCCCAGGGTTTCTTACTCAGGTTCCTACATTAAGCTTCGTGGGAGGCGTAGTGCAGCTTGCGGCCTCAGGATAAGCCCCCAAATTCAACTAATCGACACGACACTTCACTCGTGTAGACTGCGGGTCAACAGGACCCCTCGATACTGCGGGTTGCTAAGACGGATCCTCTTATTCAGAGTCTGGAAAAAAGTAACTTGTTCCTCCGGGGCCTATTAGACTCGACACCACAAGGCCAACTTCGCATAAGCAACCTCTATACCCGAAAGAAGCTGCCCCCACCCTGTAATAGTGACTATAAGGATTATGTTAGGGCCCTATTATATTCCCATTATACCACTATTACAGGGTGGGGGCCCCTTATAATCTATACCCCAAACCGCCTTCCTCGCCAAGACATCCTCGGTGACGTGGCTTTGCGTCACCAGAAAAAGGAACATGCCAATAAATCCCAGGCCAGAGAACTCCTCGCGGACTGATACATGTGGGTACCTAGAGGCTCCATAGTAGATCCTTTTTAGGGCTCAGATGTAGAATCCTATAAGGTAATCCCCAAAAGGAACTGCTATGGAGCCTATGGGTAGTTGTCAAAAATGTGGTCGCTATTTGGGTACGCTAAGTAATAGCTGCCGTATTATAATAGGGACCCGAAAAGGGACCAGAATTTTGACAACCACCTATGTAGGCTTTAGGAGTGTGGGGTTCGGCGGAGTATACTATCTCCAAATACCCGGAACCCCACGGCCCTGAAGCTCCGTAGGAGGCACAGTGCGCTGAAAACCCAACTGAGTGGTTGTCAAAATTATGGTTCCTATTTGGGTCCTTAATATAGTACGGCACCTATTATTGAGGGTATTCAAAAAGGGACCCCTATTTTGACAACTACCCAACTGGAGAGAGACGCGGTCTTGGTGTTCGGGGATTCGGAAGCGATTAACCATATGTCTGCTACACGATTTTCACGGGTGTGACAGGGGCGGCGGGGACGAGGTTATGACCGACACGGTTCCTGAGTCGAGACCGACGCACAACGCACAGAAGGCGTCTGGGATTCATGTGCTTGTGCTGATTGTATATAATGCACTTCTACTCACACAAACACATATACATCTAACACTTACGTATGCATGAACTGATGCACGCAGGACAAACGGAGAGGCATAAGTGGGTGTAGCAGTCATGGAAGAAGCAGCGATGGATCTGCGTAGTCGGAACACTCTACTGACATCAAAGCCAACTTTTGCTCTACTTCGGGGCCACTGACCTCCTTAACAAGCTGCAGCCGAGCTCTGTGCCCCAATCTTCACCACAAAAGCTGGATTTTGCGGCCCAGCGTCCTTGAACAAGACATCCATGATTTGCAAACCGACCTGCACAGCGCTGTCCAGATTGGATCTTCGTGCAAACATGTCCAGTGAAGGTTGAAGGTTTAGAGCTCAGGTGTTGAATGGGTAGGGGTTTTAGTATGTAGGGTGTGAGTATATCTCGGAACAGCGGAGACCTATAAATGGCCCCAATCACATGCTATTGGATGTGCAAAATAAAAATGCTCAGGGAAGAAATGTCTTGGCACAAATCACTCCGGTAACCGCCGGTAACCAGAATGGCTAGACTATGCTAGACTCTTGGAGATACTTCGGGCTTTCGATGTGTCTATGTAGGTACTTGGCTCAGGGAAACACGGGAGGCAGGGGTACAATCGAAACCGCGCGAAGTGAGTGTAGGGGTTTAGTGATTCAGTCATTCACGTTTAGGTTCCAAGTCAACCTTAGACTCAACCTTAGAAGTTCGAAGGTTGAGTCTAAGGTTGAGCCTTCGGAGCTGGGGGGGGGGGGGTCGGAGGGTTCAGAGCTAGATGTTTTCGATGACGTTCTAAAGGGTGGAGGTGTAGGGCTCGGGCTCAGAGGCCAGGTTGAGGGCCTCGGGCAACCTCCACGAACTCCAAGCAATGAGATCAAGGCCGAGTAGGGGGTCTACCCATGGCCCCATAGTAGTTCCTTTTTGGGGTTCATATGTAGAATCCTACATCCCGAAAAGGAACTACTATGGGGCCTATGGGTATAGTTCATGAAGTTGGTAGTGGGTGTTGTTGGATATGCAGTAGAGGGTGGTTGGTGGGGTCCAAACCCTATTGGTGTCCAGACATGTAATGATCCCTGGCTAAACCGCATAGCCTTGCTCACCTAGGCTTGACTAAGCCAAAGGGTTAGAAGTAATTAGCCACATTCATGGTAGTCAGTGAGCTTTTATTGGGTAAGTCTAACCCCACAAAGATACTAACGACCTGCTGTTTAAGAGGAGACCTTCCTTCAAACGAATGCTTTGCAGGCCTTGTCCTGCGCGTGGTCAAGCGAGTGGCGAACCTCTTAAGCTTTGCGGGTTAGGATTTAGGGCATGTCCTTGTTTTTGCAGAGGTTCTGGGGTTCCCAAAACCTATCAACGGGTGTCCTTGATGGCTTCCGGAAACCGAAAGTTAAAGCTGCCCAAATTTGAGCAGTGATGCAACCTGAACTCTCCCAGGGCCCACCGCAGGCACTAAATCCGAAACCGGAGCCAGCCCAGGATTTCGAGTTGAGGGTATCAGGCTTTAGGGTATTTCTGTATTTCGGGGTATAAGCGAGCAGCCCAAACCGGACCAAACTCAAAAATTGGCTCGCCTGTGAAGCCCGGATCGGAAAGCCAAAGCTATTTAAGAGCAAGCGGCCCAGTGCTGAACCGTCTCGAAGACGCCATTCCTTGATTCGGGTTAGGCTGGGTGCCGGTTTCTCACCACTCAGCATAATGTAAGGGAGATCACGGTCAGCTTTCGTTCATTCTTGTCGCCTTTGTCGTGCGTGAGTGCTTGCTGTGCACCCCAGTTCCTCTGTTTGAACGTTCCCCCCAATGTCCAAATATCCAACCCTGCGCAGAGCCGGACACAAGCACTTGTAGCTGAAACCGTGAACAGTCGGACCTGCAAGTTCGCAGGTTCAAGGCTCGGAGCTCTGTTTTTTTTTTTTTTTTTTTTTGGGGGGGGGGGGGGTTTAGGCTTTAAGGCTTTGGGTTAGAAGGGGCCCGCACCCTGTAATAGTGGTATCATAGGAATATAATAGGGCCCTAGTATAATCCTTATAGTCACTATTACAGGGTGGGGGCAGCTTCTAAGCCTTGGGGTTTTCAGGAGGTAAAGGAGCATTGCTGCCTGAAGCTTTTGGCTGCCACTTTGACAGTCTGCAAGAACTGTCGACCACGCTGTATGTACCATCTGTCTGGATTAGCTAAGGCTGCATCGGGTAAAACTTTGGGCTTCAATTAATCGAATCGAGGTTGGGTCCAGTCTTCTCTGCCTTGAAAGCCAAACTTGTGGCTTCGCAGACCAAACCTTCACGATTGCGATTAGAACTTCAGTATTTGCCCTCAAGCCGTGAACGCTGCACAACTTTCGTGCAGAAGTTGCTGCCGAAGAGTCAGCACAACGACGAGGCAAACTTCTGCAAAAAGAAGCCAGGGGCACAGGGTAACTTCCTCCCGGACACTGAGTTTGTAAAACTTTGGGCTCTGCGAGTTACGAGTTTTGGGTTTACCATTCACCAGCGCAATACATAGAGAGGTGAATAACTTGCTTGGTTTATCCGTGGCTCCAATATGCACCAGGAAGCCGTAAAAGGAAACAGCATTACTCACTACTGGGGCATCTTCTTTATGGTGCAGGGGATTTTTGGGGGCCAGCCTCTATGCTGGTGTTGAATCAAACGGGCCTTGAGGATCTAAATGGCTTTCGGATTCAGGCTTTGCTGTGTATTTGGGAGTTTCCGAAAATAGGGGACCCTAATATAGTACCCTACACAGTAGGATCCTTATTGTAAGGACCCGTACCTCCAATTTTCGGAAACTCCCCTTTCGGGTGTGCCACCCAGGTCTCAGGGTCCAGGTCTCGGGATGCATCAATAGGGTAAGGGATGAAGCTCTTACGATCCAGGTTCTGGGCTTGAGGAGGCCTTCCGATCACAACTGGGATCTTTTAATATGGGGCCATAATAAATAAGGTTGTCGTGAGCATTCTTGTAGCTATAATAAGGAACCACGAAAATAGTATATGGGTGGTTGTCAATATTATGGTCCCTTTTTGGATCCCTATTATAGTGCGGCACCTATTATTTAGGGTAATTACCCCAAAAAGGGACCTTAATTTTGACAAACACCCATATGTAATTATTAAGGCCCCTAAAGTACCACTCAAGCAGCACATCGAAGCCCCTCAAATCCAGTCTGGAAGGAGTTTAGGATGTCGGGCCATTTTTTCAAAACAGAGCCATGCAAAACACAATCACTCCGGCCTGGAACCTCTGAAAACCGTAAAGGGAGGAAGACTCAAAGAATCCGTAAGGAAACCTTGCAGAACTCGTAAAGCAACCTTTCATACAACACTTCAGGCTTCAGATCCCTTTACAGGAACCCGTTAACGAACCCTATAGAACCCTTACAGACACCCCCTAGCAAGCCATTGCAATCGTTACAGGAACCCTCAACCGAACTCTGATTGCAAGCCGTGAAGGAGCCCTGATCCCCAACACTCAACCCTGCAGCCACGGTTTAGGGTTTAGGGCCAGGGACCCTTAAACATTTCCGAGCACCCCTTGGGCCTCAACGAGCTCTTCGAAGATGGACTCGTCGTGAGTCTCCTAACATACGAGCGGGGCATGAACTCCTCAGGGCTTTGGGTTAGGAGTTCAAGGGTTCCCAAAACCCCAAAAAAACCCTGGGTTCAGGCGGTTCGACTTTCAGACTTGCACTTGAGTTTAGGATCCATTATGACTCGGCTTGAAGGACCCAAGTTCGGATCATTGGTCTTTGGTTTGATTTGCGGAACCCAAGAGGGGACCAATAGTGCCAAACACTCAGATCTTGGGACGCAGCACAAAGCACATCAAGGAGGTCCTTTAACGCACAACTTCACTTTCCGTGCTACCAAAGCTACGCCGTCCCAAAACCGAACCCCATAATCTTGACCCTAAACCTTACTCCCAAAAGCCTGCGCCCTACCGCAGGGGAAAGAGATCCCTTAAATTCGCGTTAAAGGGTGCTTAAGAGTTCTGTGGCTGCTGTTCTGTGCCAGGCCTTGTGGCGATGATGATGGTGGCGACCCGCACTGCTGGCCTTTCCAGGACCGTCTGATGGGTGTGGGACAGCCGTGTAAGTGTCTGTGTGTGTGTGTGTGTCTGTCTGTCTGTCTGTCTGTCTGTCTGTGCAAAAAAGTAGGTGAACGGTAGACATGTATACACACACATACGTATATACATGCAGTACATACATACAGACAACCAGATGTATATGTATGTGATGTGTATATTCATGCATATGTATATATATATATACATACAAAATGGTATATACATGTGTTTGCAAACATGCATACATACATCGATAGGTGTACCTATGGTGGGCCTGTAGAACATAGAAACACCATAAGTCAAGATTCTTGAACCTGTGTATTGTACTTTTGTTGCTGTGTATATTTGTATCAGATTACATGGTCTTGTGTTGCATTACGCTGTGCTGTGTTGGACTGTGTTGTGCCATTATGTATTGAACTGTATCGCATTATAATGCCTTGTTGTGCTGTGTTGTGTTGTGTTAAATTGGTATTGTATATGGACGTGTGCTTGTATTTGCATGTGCAGCTGTGTTCGTTGGTATTTGTCTTGCGTTGGGTTGTACTGGGTTGTATTGTATTATTGTATCGGTATGGAGGTACACATGCAACTGCGTTGTCATGCCATGTGTTGCTGCATATGTACTGTATTGCATCGCATCACAAAGTAGTGCGACGTGCGACGTGATGTTGTATAGTAATAATGTGCCTTGTATGAATATTGTCTTGTCCTATCTTAGAATTCCTGGGCCGGGGAAGAGGCCATGTACGATACAGGTCATGGATCTGTTTCAGCAGCACGGGACTATTCCCGTGTAGGGTTTGAGGCCCTGAACGACCCAGAGACCCCAATGTCCCTGAATTAAGGAGTACACCTTAAATTATAGTAGGATCCGTAGTATGATCTACGGTATATTCCTTGATTAAGGGATATTGGGGTCTCTGTGTACCTCCACCTGATATCCTCGAGCCTCTTTCGAAGCTGTGCTCTTCAACAGCAAAGGGAGGAGCTGACAAGGTGTGGAGTACTGCCTGTGGCGCCGTGGCTGCCGTGGGCCAGGTGACGAGGACCGATCCATTCTCAAAGTGGAGCCTTCAGCAATGATAAACGGATAAAGGGCTTGGCTGGGATCGAGCAGAAGAACCCATGCGAAACTGTACCAAGGTTGTCACAAGGTGTACCGCAGAATCCCCGTTCTATTGACAACTCTGCCCGGCAACAGCCTTTCATTGAAACAAGCTTGAAGGCTCCAAGAAACCCCCCAAACCCGTAAGGCGCGTGCAACGGGCTTTTCATATCCTACGGTCATCATACTTGGGTGGTGCAGGAACCAACGATGTAAGTTATATGTATGTGTATGTATATGTAATGCAGCTAACATGCGCGTCAAGCTAAAAGGAAGGCAGCCGGAAGCACGCATTGATGCTACTGCCTGACAGTCTCTGAAGATTTGCAGCCTTGACAACAAAGAGTCCCGCCCAAGCACCGTGAGCTCTCCAAACCAAGCCCTACAGCCATGCCTGGAACACTACGCCAAAGGCAAACTAGCCGAGGTACACTTGCCTCACGCCGAAGAACAGTACGACGAACGTCCTGGTTTCGTGTTTGGGGTTCGTGCGTCTTGGCAAGCACAGGAAAGGATGGGAAAATCCCTTGCAAAATAAGAGCCAATGTGCTAACCAAGCATGCTGTAGTCCCCAAAACGAATGTTCAGCAAAGACTGCTGCACCCTCCGCAACATGATTGCCGTGGCATACTCGTACCCCGGTCGATCTCTTGAGGTATAGGTTCAGGGTCTAGGGTTTAGGGTTTAGGGCTTATAGGGTTTGGGGGTCTCAGGGGGTCAGGCTGCCGCGGTGAAAGAAGGCACAAGGCTTTGTGCGTAAGTCACACATTAACTTTCGGCGCGCTTTTCTGTGCTTATGTACTAAAGCCGAGGTCTACAACTACCCAGGGGCTGAGTATCCTAACCCAAAAAAGTTAATCTTTCCAACTATGGCAGGATTATATAAACCCCAAAAGGTTAAAGGTTACTAAGGCTGATACACTTTGCATCCACAGCGTCAGGATCGCGGGTGTCTTCCGCCGCCCCAGCGCCATGACGGGCGGAGAAGCAGCGAGAACTTGCTATAGAAGCTTTGTTGCTATCAGAAGACGCTTGTCGCACACAGGAGATATTCTGAAACTAGTAGGAAGCCCTAAAGCCAGGATAATACTTCCTCACTGAAGGTGGTATATCACCGAAGGCTGGTATACCCGTCAAAAAATATTCAAAGTCGGGTTTGGTTCGCTCTTTCGGCTCGTGTTTGACACGGCTCCACGAGGCTCGAACGGGATGGGCCCGGGTGGGCACTCTCCTCCATCAACTCGTTCAGGTCAATCTCTCCCTACACGCCACTGAGATGATAGAGAAACTACTGCTGGCTGGCTACTCCTAAACCCTAAACCCAAAACCCCTGGCCAGTCTGATTCTGATGATGGCTTGGGGAGACAGCTGGAGCCGTGGACCAGGCGACTGTCATGCTTCAGCCAGCCATGGTTAGAATAGGGTTCCGAGTAATGTAGGAATCTGATTAGGAAACCCTGGGCCTTTATTAGGGTTCTATATGAGTTCCATGAAAGGGTACTCTAAGCTTACTATAACGGTTTTGGGGGTCTTGATGTGGGAACCTGATTAAGAAACAGTGGGCCTATAGCCGCAAAATAGTAGGACTCATATAAGGAACCCTCACAAGGATCCAGGGTTTCTTAATCAAGTTCCTATATTATACTAGCGGGGATGGAGCAATATTCAGAAACAGTGTACGGTTTCGGGTTCCCAGAAGTCGTAAACCCTACACAGTATCTTTTGGACATGTGGGCTTTCGGGAAGCTGGGTCGGGTGGTCGGGTGCAAGGGCTCCGGCAGTTGAGATCTGGCTGGGTGCAGCAACTTGGGGCTTATTGAAACTCAACCAAGAGACAGAGAGAGAGAGAGAGACCAAGCCAACAAAACTTCTATCAGTTTGTCGGGGCGACTTTAAGGCCGAAACAACCGAACACCGAGACCAGAATATCAGAGTCAAAAGAAATGCAATTCCAGGTGCAACTTGCAAGACACTTGACATCACAACAACCTCGCAAATTCTAAATCCTGAGGTCCTAAACCCTAAACCTACCCCCATTCCTAAACCAACCGCTTCGAGACCTATGCGCGTGACCCCAAACCCTAAAACTATTATTGTTATTATCATTAACACTGCTGTCAAAACTGACATTGTCACCGTCAGTATCATCTTTATATTCCATTTATCACTACTGTCACTGTGATCGCTATTTTCATTGTCATTAGTGTTATTTACGTCAGGCCTGTAACCCTGCTCTGTAACTCCAGGTTCCAGGTGTTTTCTTCAGGCACCGCCCGCGAGAGTATCGGCACCCTGCCAGGCCAAGATAGGCTCGGTGTACCTTGCTCGGGTTCAGGGTTTAGGGGTTTATGGCTGAGGGGTTTAGGGTGGAGGGTTTAAGGCTCAGGCTCCGTGTACCTTGCTCCAACAGTAGGGTTTAGGGATTACGCTCCTGCAGACTCGGACTTGCCAGACTGGGTTTAGGATTTAAGGTTTAGGGCCTGTGTGTTGTTGGGTTTCGGGTACCTTACCTTGCTCAAACCGTAGGGTCTCGGACCCTATTTATCGGGTTATTGAAGTGGGTTTAAGTCGGCTGGGGTAAAGGTCCTCTAGGCTTGACAGGCTGCCTATCCTCACGTGTACTTCTCTGCTTTATTGCGTGTGTTCTTGTGCTAGTGCGGCAGCGCTTTGTCTGCTGGCCAGTCTGGCTATTACCCCCTGTAGCAGGTTCCAGATGACGTGCCCGTTTCAACCACCTAGAAAAACATGAGCCCCGACCCCAAGCTGAGCCATGCTCGGGTTAAGGGCTTGTGGGTAAAAAGCGGTGAAGCTTGATCTGTTGAAGGTTTTGAGGCCCCCCCCCCCCCCCAGAAAGTCTCATTTGGGAGATGGAAAAACCATGCACATGGGAAACTGATTGATATCGAGACTGATCCTTACTCTAAGGCCCTTCTCACCCTCCTCCAAAATTGTTGCACCACAACCAAGTGGTTTTGCAAAAAAACTCTTACGCAACCCCTCCTACCCTGCCCGGCATGAAAGTTGGGCATGGCCTGCGTACCCCAAACCTTACGACATCGCAGGTTCTGGCTCTTTAAGTACAGGGAAAGTATAGCCAATAAACCTGCAAGCTAAAGCCTCATACCCTTAATCCCAACCTGAGTCCTGATCTACAAGGTCTTGAAAACAACCTTAAAGCCAAAAGCCCACACAGCGCTGTAACCCTCGACATGAATGTGTCACAGATCCGAAGTTCAAAACGTCAATCTTGAAATCCAATACTCACAGACCTCAGACCCTGTAACCCAATCTAGCACAGAGGCTTATTTAGGGCCACTTTCTCCGGGATGCCAGTAAGATCCCGGCACACTGCCTGGCTTGCGATCGAGGAAAGCGCGCGTCTGGTTCCTTGGGGCCGTTCTCGGCGCTCAAAGGGTTCGTCACTGTACTGTCTTTTACAAGTAGTTTCTCTGAGGCTTTTCGTGGTTTTTGGAAAGGATTAGCATAACCCATGGGCCTCAAAGTAGTTCCTTTTTGGGATTACCTTATAGGATTCTATATACGGACCCCAAAAAGGAACTGGGACCTTAGGGAAGGCCTTAGGATGGTGTTCCAGGCTGAGCTCCTGGCCCCGAATACCGAAATTATTCACAACAGTGGCTTCTATTTTTTTTTCGCAGCAAAGGGGGCAACTTTTTCACATAAATTTAGTCTGTAGGATTTTGCCCAGGATTTTCCATTCAAGTTAGGGCGTTGTAGATGAAAACATAGGCGTACCCGTAGGTCCGAAACCTGCATTATTTGCATTGCACGTGCGTTCTAAAGAAGTATAGTCTTCTGCGTTGCAGAAAAGGTGTAGTGATCGGTTTCGTGTTCAGATTTATAGCGTCCGCCAAAACCTAAACACATCCAAAGACCTTTTTCTAATTCTTTACGCCTCTATACTAGCCCAAGCCCAAAGCAGCTGTGAATCCGACAATCCTAATCCCTGAACTTTTTAAAACCTTGAATACTAAACTCCTGAACCCTAAACCTTAAACCCTGAACCCTAACCCCAAATGCTTTTCCAACCCTAATCCTGAACGCCGTGGGCTCAACCCGATTCTGCGAAGATGCGGCCAGTGCTTTGGGTCCATGGCTCCATCCTAGCCAACTCGCAGTTTGGGGATGTGCTATAAGCTGCCCCCACCCTGTAATAGTGACTATAAGGGTTCTATCAGGGCCCTATTATATTACTATTGCAGGGTCGGGGCCCCTCCTAAGGGATGTGTCTAGATTTTGACTTTCGGGTTGGGGATGGTTTTTTGATCTTATGTGTTGGGGCCTTGGGATTGGTACTGTCTTTTCGGGGTGTATGGATAAAGGGGTACTTCAGGGGCACAGGTTTCTGAGGTGAAGGATCACAAGTCCAACGGAAGTCGTCAATGTTCCGAATTCTAAGCCCTCATGAAACTGTAACCTGCGTCCTGCACTCTGAAACACACTTTGCGCACGAATCCAGATGGTGGTTTCCGAAGTTGAAGTCGGTGAACAAACAAGGATGTGGATGCGAGGATCCCCTGCTTGTACTAGCCCAAAGGGTCCAAAGTACCCGTACAGTAGAATGTAGGGTTTTTATATTAGGAGTTACTATTATGATTTGGAGAAGTATTCCCCATAACAGCACCTAGGACCCTTGGGGTAGTCCAAGGCCTGGGGAACATGCACGGGGACATTTTGAAGCATGTCTTTGTTGAAGCCCTGAGGGCTGAGCCCTGACCCCAAGGGTCCAAAGGACCCAAAAATGAGGGACTTGGGCTTAGGATAGTAGTTATGTAGGTTAATATTTGGGCGAGTATATGATTATCAGGTATTTGGACCCTTGGGGTGAGGACTGAAACGATCTTAGTGACTGGGGCTGTAGATCTGGGTTTCGGGGTTAACGACCGGGGTGATTATGTGACCTAAGCAGTCCAAGTGCAATATCACAGCATGTGTCAAATACCCAAAACCGTGCACAGTACACACACACATATTCATGCACACACATATATATATATATATATATATATATATATATATATGTATGTGTATATGTATATGTATATGTATATATATATATATATATATGGGCACAAGCCGAAAGATACCGTGTGCACGAAGCAGAAACCTGTATGAATCGTCGACCCTTCTCTTTGAACCGGGGCTGCAGTGCAGATACCATCATGCTCAGCCTGCAGCACTTCACACCTAACCCAAAGCCCTTTGCCCAAACTCCAAAACCCGCGTTGCATCCGGGCTTGGGAAGTCGGTTTTAAACCCTAAACCCTACATGCCTAAACCCTAAAACCCCAAATCCTTGAAGGCCTCAAACCCTTCGACTGAACCCCCAAACGTGAAAGACCCAGCTGCCGCGTGCGTTCGCAGAGGGGTGTTCACCTCTGCGAGAAGAGCTGCTCCCTGCACACAGAAAGGGAAGGTAAGAGTTGGACACTCATGTTTTATTTGGCTTTTATCCATGTGATGATGACATAGCCATAAGCATTTACGAATATATGCATATATATATATACGTTTATAGATAGGCAGCTATACACACAAATGCGTATATGTTTATGTATCCGTGTATGTACACAAGCAATCACACACATGCATGGATGCATGCATGCAAGATTATACATACATATAGAGGCATATGCGAAAAGGTACATACACCCATATATACATACATACGTACATACATACATATGTACCTACATACGTACATGCGGACAGACATACATATACATTCATGCATAGATGTACGTTCATCCCATTCATCCATTCATCCATCCATGCATACATACATACATGCAAGTATGCACATCCATACGTGCGTGAGTACTTACATGCCACTGGAGCAGCCTACAGTACCACGCGGCAAGTGGGCTATAACAGTTCGTGACTTTGACGATGTGAATTCCTCACCAAAGCAGGCTTTATTGGGTTCAGGTTAGGCTTGGAGTTTAGGAAGACAGTCCTGCAGAGTTGGCTTGAAGGTTGATGGATGGCAGCTAAAGGTCGCGGGATGCCGTGGGGTTTGGAAATACAAAAAGAATAGGGAGTGTAAAACCCCGTATCAGACTCAGACTTTACATATAATGAACTGCTTTGTAGCACAACCCTCAAAGCTGTGGGTGAGAATCCGGAAACCGTCCTAGCATGGCTTAACCAAAAAGAAGCAGTCGAATCTGTTTTGGTGAATTCACCCCGTCCTGGAAGCTGATGATGGCAGCGTGGAGGCAGGCCCCGGGCCAGCCATACCTAGCTCATGGTTGAGATAGGACCAAAAACTTACATCTTTATTCCTTATTGGGTTTAAGTACCCATAAAAATGCAAAATGTTCCCCAACTGTGAGAAAGATACTTCAGAGTCGGGAGAGACATCCTGAGGAGCTCGTTGAGGGCTTGCAGGTTCAAGGAATATCGGACAGTTCGGGAATGCCATGAAGAGTTTTTCGTTGAGAGCTTCGAGGCTTTTGACACGCACTTTCGGACAAGACAGTTTAGGGGTATCGGAGATTTTGGGGATGCCCTGAAGAGGTTTCATGGTTGGAATTGAAGATGTACCTAGAAAGTGAGTGCTTCTGGGGTTCAGCGGGATGGAACCCTAAACCCTAGCACCTTAAAACCTGAAACCTAAACTCCGAGCTCCTCGCCTCGAACCCAAAAGGAATCTTCAGGCCTCTTCAGAAGTTGAAGCCCAAGTCTGCTTGGGATCCCATGAAGTGCAAATGCCATGCGGAGCCTTCGCATATTTTTGCTTCCTACTTAGGGTTTAGGCTTAGACTCATTCCTTTATTAGTGGCTGGAATCGGGCGCTCTTGGAAGAATCCTTGGGATGTACCATTGGACTTAACGTTCTGCATTCTTCTTCTGCTTCAACTGCATCCGTTCGCCGGAGAAGGTGCTAGGGATTTGATTCTGACATAAAAGGGGTGGGATTCTTCATCAATGGAAGGAAGTTGTGATCTAACAAACCACTGGTAAATCCTGCTGCACCCTGCATCCCCAAGACAAAGAACCAACGCATGCCAAACCCTGCCCATAAAACTAACCTTAACCGCCGAGCCCTAAATCCTAGAGCCGCTAGACCTTAGGCTCAGGCGTAAGCCCTCGCTCAAACTACCCGGAACCTGAAGCCTCTCTCAAGACTTATGAATTCTAAATTGTATAAACCAAACTACCCTGAACCCCAAACTCTGAAACCCTAAACCCTAAACCCTAATACCCAAAACTACCCTGAACCCCAAACTCTGAAGCCCCAGAAACCCTGAAGCCTAAACCCTACTAGTCGACACCGGAACTGTAGATTCTGACCGCTGAGGACGCCCAGCATCTGGTCATCTGGTCCGGTGCTTACCTGGCTGCTTGAAGCTTATTATAGTGGCTGGTGCTGAATAGGGCTTAGGTTTAACGGTGTATACAGTATACGGCCTTAGGGAGTATGCCCAGGAGCCTGCATCTTAGTGCTCTCGGCCTCGGGAGGATCGCAACATGCTACAACAGTCTCCTTCCCTGTTTTGGTTGATTCGAAACTCGGTCCTTCCATCGGCAGCCTCAACCTAGATTCTGATTCTTCTGGAGGGCTCTACCATGTCTGACAGTTATGCAGATACATTTGCATAAGAATAGACTTAAAAACATCTGCATGTACAGTTACATACACAGACACCGCTGCGTGCTTGTTTATGCGTGCATAAAAAGACCCTTGATATGAGGAAGCTATGCATACATACATACATACAGACAGACAGACAGACATATGCCTTTACTTACATACATATTTTTACACTTAGTATACTTGAGTAATGCGAACTACTGACTAACCCTTCCGTGTGCTGCAAGATTAAATCTCGCGGGAATCTGGGGAAGTCTCGGAGTGCAGTCTCTACCTTAACTGACCACCGCAACACGCTTTAGGGTGGCTTTGTGTTACCTTTAGGAAGTTTAGGGTTCAAGAGGTTGGGGGTTTGGGGGACTATAGACAGGTCGAAGCTCAAAAACACCACAAAGATCGGACCTTCTTCCCGCGCTTGCAGTAGCCAAGCCTGGGGCTTATGGTTTGGATGGGAACCTACTTGTCGGGCATCATGGGAAACTAAAGGTTAACCTTTGTGGATATATAGGGATTATATAGGGACTATACTACCCAAAACAGGTTGAAGGTTACCTTGCTACTACTAGGGGAAGGACCGCAAACCCTGAACCCTAACACCCTAACGGCTTTTTGGGACTCTACGAGCTCCTTTTGAGGGCTGTGTGGGACCGTTAAGGCTCATTTAAGGGTACTATAAGGTGTACTTAGGAAGCCGTTTACGGTTTAAGGGTACTATAAGGTATACTTAGGAACCCTTTTACGGTTTAAGGATACTATAAGGTGTACTTAGGAATCCTTTTACGGTAGCATAATGGGTACGGTAGGGTTTTTGTTCAGGTCCTTGGGCTTTGAGGCGTCTGGATGTGATGTAACGGCTTTCCTTGCAGTTGCAGGATCGGCATCGAAACCTCTACAGCCGACTCCCTGAACCCATTCCTGATTAAGCGCCGCCCTCCTATCCCACAACCCTACATATAAAAACCTCACCCCCCCCCCCAAGACTTGAGGACTTAAATGGTTGATTACACTGTCATTGTAAGAAGAATAAGGTACTGCATATATGTCTTTGAGGATTTGGCACACTAGGGCTTGATTCCGCATCATACACGACTTCCTTCCGCGTGCATAAAAGATGAACTCCACAAGCTCGCAGCCAGGTATAGCATGAGTTGGGCCCCTTTGTAGGACTTGTATGACGTTTTGGGGACGGCGGGTTTGATAGCGTTTGGGCGTGTTGAAAGACGGAAGCCCGAAGCCCTTTAACCCGACACCAAAGATGAGTAAAACCCTGAACCATTCCAGTGTCTTTTCCTTCTTGCGAGCAGGCAGCTGCAGTGTGTCGAAGGCGGGTAGACTGTTGGACACAGCCTCGACGCATGGACTCTCCCGAACATCACCCGAAATTGAAACCCTCTCTCTCTCTCTCTCTCTCTCTCTCCCAGGCATTCGAAACGTCAATCCCGGCTGCAGGACACAGATGGTCCCACGTGACACATGATTGGAATTCGAAACCATCTTGTCCAACCCCAAACCCCAAAACCCCAGACCCTAAAACCCTAAACCATCCTAAACCTTAAACCCCTAAACCAACTCCCTGCGCCCTCGAGCCTGCTGGCCTTTCACCAAGCCTAACCCTGCACGTTGAGCCCCAAACGACCCCGTAAATCCTGGTGGTAGTAGTAGTAGAAGTAGTAGTAGTAGTTGTTGTAGTCCTACACCGGGAATCCTGAGTCGCGCAGACTGCAAAACTCTGGTTGAGCCTCGAGGATGTACTGCAGTTTTCTAGATCACGGCAAAGTATAAGTAAGCTCCACTCCAGTCATATGTGGCTTTAAGCTTTTCAGTTCTAGGTGGTGGGGGGATGGGCAAGCACAATGCCTCCCACAATCCCCTGAAGCTCGAAACTCGCATTTCTCGCATTTCGGGCAGAGTGATCCAATGAATGGACGCAGCCCTTTGCTTGCATCCCTAATTAAGAAAATGGTGAAACACAAGGGCCCCGAGCTCGCCGTGCCGAAAGATGACACGGGTGGTGGTACTCTGTGAGGAACGAGCATCAGGTAGGCCCATGACGGCTTGGGAGCAGGGATCAAGGCACGCCGGTAGTACCAAGGCCGCTGGAACTCCAAGTCCAAAGAGGCGCACCGAAAGCCGGAGCAGATCGCTAGCGAGGCTGGCAGCAGCACAATGCCTCAGAAAGGACTGTTCGGATAGGCGATCGGGTGCAGCGCCGAGATAGGTGGGAAGACCCTCTGTGATGAGGACAAAGCCAACCTCGTCAAAAGGCCCTTCAAAGAAAGAGGGTAGGGAACCCGTGGCGATGGTGGCCAGGCATTCATCATGGGCAAAAAAGACCAGACGCTCGCCAAAGGCACGCAGGGCTCTAGGTTCCCAACTCGCGGGCGCGACGACACAGAAGGGAATCGAAAGATCGGCAGGAGGTGCTGGAAGAGAAATGGGTGCGGTATCCAGCATGCAAAGCGAACTTTCAGCATCCCGGAATGTGCATAGGACCGGTGTGGCAACTGCCGGATCTGGTACCAACCACTCGACCAGATCGGCTTGCAAAAGCCACGAAGCACAAGGAGCCAGACGATCCCGTACGGGAGGTGCCAAGTCAACGAGGCGGGAACTCCAGGTGGAGACCGAAGCACATATGCGCTCTGTGGGTGCACAGGTGCACCCAATTGCTTCACGGATGCGTGTCCAAAGGGAGGATGGTGGCAAAGTAGCAACTTGGCCGTCAAAGTCCAAATGGCCCAAGCAGTCCAGGATCTCAGCAACTGGGGTGTGACGATCCTCTATCCACTGGGATCTGTCCGGGTGCACAATGGGAAGCAGAGGCCCCTGGGCTTGCAGAACCGGTGCCTGTGTGGCTCCAGCATCAGCAGCCTTTTTGTTGCCCACACCGGGCTCAGGTGGGCAAGCAAACCCCTGCTGTTGAAGGGCAAGGCGACAGGCTGGCGTGAAACGAAGGTGCCTGCAAAGCCGAACATTCGTGCCAAAATGCCGAAGGCACGCCTGGCACTGTTGCCCTTGAAGTATTCCACGTCCTTGCATCAATTTCTGATGCTTCTTAAAGGCGTGCAGCGACCATTTGTTATAATTGGCAAAGACCTGCCTGCATGGCACACAGCATTGCCTGCGTTGGGCAGTGTCTAGTACCGTGCCATGTAGGACACCGCCCATGGTGGTGAGCTGTCGGGAAAGAAGGCCTGTACTATACTGTCGTAGTGAATCCCAGGTCTCCTGTTGGAGTGCCTTCTGCTGTGCCCGACGAAGAAGAGCCTTCCACCGGCCCGGATGGTTCTCCATTGTGTGCTTCCACTCCGTCCATTGTGGGATCCACGATCCCCCCTTCGGGTTGGTGATCGAGGCTAGCCAGGTGAGAGAGTGCCTGACGTCTGCCAACCAATGCCCGTCCCAGTGGGCCAAGGCCCAAACCTCCGGTATGCGGAGATTGACGCAGGGAAGAAGGTGGCGAAGACGGGCCACATGCATGAGTGTAGCAACCGATGGAATGCCTGCAAGGGCAAGGATTCTATCCGGGCCTTGGTGTAGTGCCTCATCGAAGGAAAAGCGAGGTCGCAACATCTTGGCAACCATGAGCACATGTGCATGGGACAGGGCCTGGAGTGTGGCTTTGTCAGGGGAGACCCAGGTGCCAGCACCATGTAAAAGAACAGAAAGCACAAGGGTCTCATAGAGCGTGGCCTTGGCCTGAAGTGCAATGCTAGGGTGCTCAAAGATGCTTCGTCTGTGCTTCTGAAAAGCCTCTTGCGCGAGAGAAATGCGATGTCTGGCCTCTCGCAAAGCCTGTCCGCTATGATGTATGAGGCCTCCAAGGTGGCGATATTGCCCCACCCAACGCACTCTGACCTCGCCCATGTGCTGGGTCCGAAGCGGGAGACATGGGTCTTTGTCCCTGAAGACAGTGGCACGAACTGCCCGGGAGCCGGGCCCTTGTGGTACCATTAAGACCTCTGTTTTTCCCCGAGCGAGATTGGGAATGAGGCCTCTGCTCATGCAACAGTCGATGAGTGACTGTGCCGCTTTAACAGTGGCTTCGGGAAGGGCCTTGGCTGTGGTGGTTTTGACCATCAGAGAGAGGTCATCCATCCACGTGGAATCCATAATAGGGAGGAAGTCAAGCCCAGAGGTGGCCAGATCAACTGGTTGGACTTCGCCGAGCCAGGAAGCTTCCCAGGGTAGGTGGACAAGTATCTCTTGACGTGCGAGCTCTTGCTTTAGGTCCCTAAGGACGCATGCGAACAAAAACCCGAAGATGATGTCTGCGCAGTTGTCCCCCGGGCGGCTCCCTATGCCAGTTTCGACAGTAGTTGTGCTTTGACGAAATCTGAACCAAGTCGAGTCAAGCACCTCGGATAACGCGCACGAAACCCAAGTGGCAGCACCTGCTTGAGCAGGGAGGGGCTCTGGACGGAGATGCCGATGTATTGCCGCAAGAGTTTCTGGGGCGAGATGCAAACGAGCAGCGATGACGGCAAAGTGCTCATCATTAAATCTGGATCCAACGAAGAGCGGCCGCAGCACGCGATAAAAGGCTTCGCGGAGGTCCAGAAATATGAGCGAGTAGCTCATCTTTCTGTTCTTGGCCCCACTCTGGAAAAGGCGTATGGCTTGAGCTGCTAAAGTGACTGGCATCTTTGGCAACCCTCCAATTTGGAGGGGTGAGGAGAGCTGGGCAAGGGGAGTGGTAGCCCGCGACCGAAAGGCCCGATGCAGGGATTTCCCAATGCAGGAAGAAACCAGTATGCCTCGATGCGCTTCAGGGAGCATCGGGGACAGGCGTCCTTTCCAAACCGTATGGAGTGCACCACCCTTGAATTGCAAAGGTTCTGAAGCCCGCATAGCAATTTTCAAGGCTAGCTGGAAAAGCGAACGGGAGGCAGCCGCTGGAGAAAAATGAAGTAACTCCCCTGGGAGGCTGTCGACACCGGCGGCACGGCCAGTTCGGGTTGCCCGTAAGGAGGACTCGAGTTCACTTCGGCTGGGGAAATCCTCCCTTAGAATACAGAGGTCGTCCAGATCTCGGGCTTGTTGCCTCTGGAAGCAGCGACTGGCTAGCTCATGTGGGGCAACTACCTTTCCATCCTCGATCCCAGCAAAATGTTTGACCCCGATGTCTTCCGCTTCTGCCAGCGTGGTGGCAGGGACGCCCGATTCATCCTGGACCAAGGGCAGGCTTTGTTTGACACGGCCTCTACGCTTAGGAGGGCCAAGAAGAGGCCGAAGCGCTGAGACAGTGTCCGAGGTGGACCTGGAGTTGGCAGCCGCAGCGGCCTCATCGATTCGACGGCCTCGGTCCCGTCGGATGGCTAGGCGCAGCTCCCTTTTGGTGGCCCTAAGGTCTGCAACTACCAATTGCAGATCGCGAAAGGCGGCAGCAGCGGTTAGGCACGCACATAGCCGCCGGAGGCTGGTGCACACTTCGCCGAGCCTCCAGCACTTGAAGGCCATGGAAAGGGCAGCCGTGGAAGAGGGCATCCGTAGACGGAGGATGTGTCGACGCAACCAAACCCGCCTCTGCCTTATCAACCAAGTATCTGTGCCAAAGTGCGAGGACCTGCAGGATCCTCGTTTGGAAGGGAAGGATTTAAGGAGAGCCTTCCTGACGTGTGTTTCAACGAGGGACCAGTGGCGGTGGACATTACAATGCCAAGGTGGTAACGGAACAGAATTCCAGATTTGGTGAAGGCACAGCCGTCCCGCCGTAGTGGCCATGGCGTCGCGATCGAGTGTGGACGCCTTGAGGTCTGGTGCCAAGCGCAAATGGGAGATGAAAGAGACATCTAGGCGAATGGCATAATGATCAGGGTTGGATTGCCCCCAGTCCAAGTCAGTGTGGACTTGGGAAGCCTCAGGTGCAGCCTGCCAGCCTCTGGGAACAGCTATGAAATCGATGCGTGAACTGTGAAGGCCATTGGGACTAATCCATGTATAGCTAGGTCCACCATCATGGCAGGTAGTGAAAGTGCTCGGTATCCATAGGTTCTGTTTGTGCAGAATCTCAAGAAGTCCGGGGGGAACCGTGCCGGAAGCCTGCCAAACTAAGTCGCCTATGCATCCCTGAACTGATCGGCCGAGGTGAACATTAAAGTCCCCCAAGAGAGTGACCCAGCATCCCTTGCAGCTCCTGGCAACACGGCTGGCTAGGGCTTGCCACCAGGAGTCGCGAGTGGAGTCTGTTGCTGTGGGCGCGTGCGCAACCACAAACAAGATCTGTAGGCCGCGCCTGCAGAAACGCACCAGGAGGGTGCGGGGGTCCGCAAAGACAACGAGTAGGTCTGAGAATTGGACGCATATGGGGTCCCGTTGGCAGGAAGAGATGGCAAACCTTTTTGATA